CTTCAGAGAGGAGGCTGGAGCTCATGCTGGATAATTCTTCCGAGATACTTAGCTAAGCTGCCGTTATTAAACGCCATATCATGTTCCAAACCACATCAAGGATTATTTCTGAAACAGTATGGAGCTCAAATGCTTTTTCTCTGACAGGTTTACCACAAGGTGAGTACCTTTTTATATCCTGCTTTTTACACATTCTCTCTCCAGTACAGCGTTAGCTCTGAGTGTTGGCGATGCTTGCTCATGGAAACACAGACCATATTACTTCCAAAACACGTCGCGCATTGTTTCTGATACAGCAACGTTTCTGATAGGGCCGTAGACGTAAAGCCAGCCCACATTTCCGATATTACGTCATTTCGGCAGCAAATCCGGATCAGCTCCGTTGTATCCCCGTTTTTAGATATGTGGGTACGGAGGGAAAGAGAGAGGGTTTTGTTTTCTGACACTTTGTGAGTCTACTGACACACCGGGGAGACATATTTATGTATGAAAGACCATTCATCTGTGTCCCCATGACAAGAACCTATGACTGTTACGACCTGTAAGCTTTAAACATATAAGCAAACAATTACAAAAACACATATAATCAAACATGGACGCACAAACAACACCTATAATATAAAGCGATTTTGAAGGAAAGAAATGTAGCGATACTTCGTAGTTACACAAGTCTCCATATGTGTTTGTGTCAGACACAAAAGGTGCATGTGTATGAGCGTATGGTGTATGTGTTGGCCCCATGCACCATCAGTGGAAGTGAAAGAGTGCTTACTGCTGTAGCAATAAGTGCAGAGTGGGCTTCCAAAATTGTCCAGGGATCACACCGCGCAATCAGAACACAAAGTACTGCAACTGCAATCAATTTAGGAAGCAAAAGGTGTGTTTGAGTGAGTGATTGACTTAGAGTAGTGTGTGTGGGGGGTGATGGGGGCCTGTAGGTCCCATAATGGAAAGGTCACCGTGATCCCTGAGGAAGCATAGACAAGAGTTCCATGAGAGAAAGCACTGCAATGTTTGAATGTGTCATTCAGCTCAAAGTGTTTCAAAGAGTTGTAGCCTTTTTATACTTGAACAGAGTGATTTCATTCCGGTGGAAAATAAGGAATACAGTTAACACCATCTCATGTACCTTTTTTAGTAACACTTTACAATAACAGAGTATTAGTTTGACATGAATTAATGAGTGTCTATCAGAAGAGGGGACTCAAGTCTTATGATTCAAGTCTCACTGGAGTCACATTTAATGACTTGAGACAGGACTTAACAAAATTAAAAAAGACTTGCAACTCAACATGGGGTTTAACACTAATGTCTCCAGACACACCTTTCCCAAAGATTAAATGTTATTTTAAAAGTTTTCCATAAAGCAATGTTAACTAACCTCCTAACATCAAATCAATTAGTGCTGCGTTTAAGGCCACTTCAATTTCTTTTTTAAACAGTTGCTGATAGTTATTGCTAGTTGAAAAGGAGGGTTTATAATGTTATTTTTCTGTTCATGTCATATGATATGATGACAGTACTCCCGGGTTTAGTAACTTCTGGATTAGTCACTGAAATGGAAAAGAGAGGCAATGTTTGCTCTGTGAGTTTTCAAAGGAAAATATATTTGTTAAATATAAATGCAACTAAAAGCCAAACCATTCCCCTCATTTATTTGGCCCTGTGTTTGGGGGTGCAGGGAGGCAGTTCTCTACAGTTATTTTGTCTTGCTTATCCATTTATTCTCCTCCATTTATTATCAGACCTGTGGTTGTGAGTAGGTTCACAACATTTAAATCAATGTTTGTATGCATCATGGTGATTCGTTTTTAACATCCATTTTACCTTTTCACCTGCTGCTAATTTGAATATGAAGTATGATTTGCTATTTTAGTGTTTTGATTTTGTTTTATTTGCCCATTTCCTTTTAACTTGCAAGGTGTTCTTAGGAACGAGCTGGGATCTTTATGCATAGCTTGTCAGTTGGTTCCTTTGATTTATTGCAGCTTATTGTTGGTCATTGGGGGGGGCTAGTCACACTCACTGCTGTGTTAGAGAGCACTGGGGCGCAAACATTCTTTTTGTAAGAATATATAACGTCTTAAATGTACTTACCTGCTGCCCTGCCACACATACATCAACATTGCAAAAGTCAACAAGTAAAAATAAATGCAAGTATTAAGCTGCAAAGTGGATTAATGTAAATGGTGTTCAGATTTGAGTATACAACTGTTGCCTTGCTGCATAATAAAAGCTAAGATTTGTCATCAATGTGTCAAACTGTACTGAGGCACCAAGGAAACATGCCCACTGTCCTTCATTATTTGTTGTCTTTATACCACTTAGCTTTGCTTAATAACAATGCCAATGAAGCCGTTCACAACAACCTAAGGTTTGCCTCGATGCACTACTTACCGGAAGCTTCAAATGATCTAGAATGATCAAAATAAATGGAAACATGTCTACTATACTCCAACTTTCAGAAGAATCCTGTGATTCTGCAGAAAATGTATTATTATTTTCACTCTTCTCTCAAACATGTCAGGCTGACAAGGTTATTTTCACTTGACAGAAGAAAATTATCTTCGGTAATAGATTAATCTACCTCTCTTACTTGTTGGAAAAATTGCAACTGTCAAAATATAAATACTCACCCCACTTGTTTTAATGATGCCTATCACAGTACCAAATAAAAATCTAACTATCCTTCCTAGAAAAATAACTATCTCAAGACCAGCTAAGGCTCCCAATTTCTTCTTCAACTATTTACAAATCAAACACAATACCTTTCTTAAAGGATCTATCAAACCACTTTATCTCATGGATAGACTTGCAACAACTGTATTTGAAAAACATCTCACGTTAAGGTTTACCTTTCCTTAAAACAACCATCATGAAGCTTCCCTGCTCTGAAAAAAGATACAATCTCCATAACTGTGACAGCCCGGTGCAAAATCATAAAGGTCTTTCATTCTACTTCAACACTGTGTAAATACACTCCTATCTGGCAAAACATTGACTTCCAACTTCACAGCACTTATCATATATAGGTTAAAAAAAAGAAGTTTTCAGACATCTTAAGCATCATTACCACAATAGTCATCAATTGGACTTAAAATATCTTATACAAAAACATGGGGTTGGGAGCATGCATTTTCTTGAATACTACCAAATTACTACTCACGAGTCATCTTAGATTGCAGAATCCCTCTATCCCCAGAGTACTGTCTGTGTTATGAACTTGGTTACACAAGGATAAGGACTCAAATGCACGACCCGGGAGCCAAAGGTAAAGTACAATTAAGATACTTTATTTTCACAAAAAAGGTAACAAAAGAAGATCACTCTTAAGAGATGACAAAAAAGGTTCGAGCAAGGCAAAACAGAAAATCACTCACAACGTGAGGAACTAAACTTATAATAAGTTTCAGGAGCCAACATAGGCTTTGAATCAAAACGAGTTGAAGAGCATAGCTCTGTCATGAGGACAGGACAAGACGAACTGTCACTGAACGCTGGGAGACTGGGGAATTTAAACACTCAATAACAAGACACAGGTGAACACAATCAGGGGCGGGGCTGATACTGATGAGGGCGGGAGAACACATGAGGAAAGGGAGTCAAGGGACCTGAAATGAGACGTGACAAACACAAAACAGGAAGTGAAAAACAATACAAAATAAACATGAAACATGATTGACTAGCACTTTTGACGGTGCACAACAGTCTGCTACGACACACTCCAGAAATCAATGTAGTCGACAAGCACAAGAACAGCCAGTTCATTTCTGAGATTGCCACTGACACAGTGGCAATCTCCTTTCAGAAAATATAAACATTGAAGGAAAATCACTGCTTACAACAACAAATCACACACACAATACTTCAGATAGCAACACACATATCAATGTATGACTGTTTATTTTATTTATCTGAATAGGAGTTAGAAGGTTACTTTACCTCCCTTGTAGGGTGAGAAAAAAAAACTACAGACTTCCAAACCATCGTCATCGTGACTGTTCCATGTTATGTTTGTTTATGTATGTCTGGTTATTATGGCTACCTTATTTAGATCCCCTATCATCAGTATACCTACAGTATGAAGCCCATACATCGTCTGAATGACTGTAGGTCTTGGTTTTTGGTTCTATGAGGTTGTGATTATTCTAGAGGTCACAACGGGTCCAGCTTCCAGAAATATTAACATAAAGTATGGGAACATTTATACTGCATGCAATGCATTGCACGGTTCTTTGCCCCAAAATGCAAGAGATACATTGGGCATGTCTGTAAATTGTAGATTTGTGAGCATCCATAGTTTAATTTTCATTCAAATAACTTACGGTGAAAGGTCAAAGGACCCCTGTGAGTATGGCAATGACAATTTTTCGCATATCATACCATATTAGCTCCTGTCTTGTTTGAATCCCCTTAAAAAAGGCACATTTGCTCAGGTTGAATAATGTTTCTGCGGTTTTCACCATTTGCGTTCTCGTATACCTTCATTATAAACGGGGAGTTACAGTAACAACACTGTATCTGCACTTTCTACCTTTATATAGTTCTATATACTACATACATTTCTATAGTCAACAGTTTACATTCTTATGTAGCTTTATGTAGCTCTTTTATCTTCTCTTGCACTTTATATGTCGTAGCTATATTGTACTGCCATGTGGTAAATATTTGTATATGCTGCTCTTGCTCTTTTGCACTTTTTGCATATCATGTATTTTGTTTTTGCTATGTTTGTAAAATGTAAACTTCTTAAATGTTTTATGTGGGACTGCGGATGGAAATTAGCTCAAAACTAAATCTGGCACTGTTACGCTTGACACATTTTTTATGTTTTAAGTGTTAATCACTGTGCATTGTCCCTGCCAATAAACGATCAAATGAAAAAAAGCACATCAAGAATCAAATCAAACATTTATAAAAAAATAATAATTCCAATCTGATTCCTTACATTTAGCAGTTTGTTTATGACGTTAAGGAAATAAACGAAGAACACAAACACATTTGAAAACTCGCATTTCATTTTATTAACACAATGTTGGAGGCCATACTTGTAATTTCATTAATAAGCTGCTCGAATGTTACAACATATTGCTGTCAGCATCACATAAATCCAAAACACTGCAATAGCTGGCAGGATGTCTGACACACACAGACCCAAACACAAAGAAACAGAAGCGTTTTTTAACATTTTTGCCATAATGTATTTGACATTTCTACTTTTACTGTCCTAATTTGGTCTGAAGAAGAAAGCCGGCTGTATCTTATAGCATCTGACATGCAAAGCTGTAATAATGGAACATGTGTTATCCATTCCCATCTGTTTTTTGTTCCGTATAATTTGTAAGTGATCATATTTATGATCAATATCTGCGCAGACACACACATACACACACTAGGCAGTAGGCACACAAGTACACACTCATACATACAGTAACACTTACTGAAGCATTTAATTCAAATCAACTGAATAAGTAGGCAACTGCTACTGATTATCATGCAGCATTCATTTTCATAGGAAGAAATACTAAACATCAATTTTCAAATGATTAAATATCTTACTTGTTCATAATGAGATGGTAGGTAGCTTCACATTTCTGATTCAGGCATTGTATTGCCTATATATAGGGTTCCAGCTAAGATTCTAAAAAGCCTAAAAAGCTTGGTTTACAACTCAAATGATACAATAATCATTCCTGATATGCTAATAGTCCATATCCGTATTTTATTCACTTCACAAACAAGATGTATCTTAGTCTGACCAGCAGTTATTGTGTCTTCAGCTAGTGTTAAACACTTAGTAAAGTGCAATACATAATACAGTATCTTATAAGGACTTTACATACAAAACCTACAACTATATCAGTAGCTAACAGTTCCCTGATTTTATATCGCTTTATTAACAGCAGAAAGCATGGCCATATACAGTGTTTGTGTGCATGTAATGCACACACTCACTCATTCACAGCAGACACACACAGTAGAAGTTTGCAGTAGCTACCAGAAAAAACACAACCGTTCATTATTCAGGTACAGTAATAACAAAAAGCATAGATAGCAATGGTTCAAGTAAAGTTCATTCAACAAGCTGCTCCGTTAGCAAATAATGAGCATGCGTGTGTATGACACAGATAATAGCAGGTATTCACAGTACAATAAGTGAGGCACATATACGGCTTTATGTACCTCCATTCATTAAAAAGCATCACTATGTCTCAAATGCTTGGAATGGTGAGTCATCTGAGCCGGTCAGTGGGTGATTAGCGCTCAGTTTGTCCTCCTGTTGTCACTTCCTGTGAGACATAAAGACAGAGATGGAGTCATATGTGCAGGGTTGAAAATCCTGAAAAAAGGTTAACTGATGATGAATGCTGCCTGTTCAGCACCCAACATTTCCAGTAAGTGACAAGCTGGTGACACATTTAAGCATTTAGCATCCTTCAGTGAGACAAATATGTTCCTCAAGTGTTGGTAGAGTACAAACAATATTGAGCATTAGATATTAGCAACCATCACTGACTAAACTTGGTACAATTTTGACAAAGATAGGTGGATTTGAACAAACCACAGTAATGGTGGGTAAACAATCAATCTTATTATTTATTGAAAAGACCACTCTATCGCCAGGTACCGTAGCAGACTATAGTGTTTAGAGATACCTCTGCAAAAGCCTCATTTCTGGATTTATGTAAGGATTTAATTAATTCCTCTGTTAATTTTATAGTTTAGTAAATTATTAACGTCACTATTTTTCAGAATTTCACAGGATAAGGCAACCCTGTCTCCTAACAATTACGTTCCCACAGAACTAAACTGCATTCTCAATTACATTTAGCGAGAAACGTATTTTCTCCCACATTACGTTTGTTTTGAACGTATCTCAAATACGTTTATATTCTACATATCTTTGCCGTTTATTGTCTTGTTTATAATAATGATAATAGTAATGTATTAATATAATTTTAGAGCAAACGTATTTTCGGGGTGGCGGCTCACTATTGTTCAGTTTACCAAATCCGTTATTATGCTGGTTAATGGGTAAATAATCACAATATTGTTTGTAGTCGTTTCATACTGCATTCTCAATTACGTTTAGCTAGAAATGTATTTTCTCCGCAACAAGTCCTCCAACTCATACGACCAAATAGGTCGATTGTTCAAGCAGCTTATTACGACCTATGATCACGTTTCAAAGTTTTCGACCTCTAGTGCTCCCGTTGATTGCAAATGCTCCGGTGGGTCGTATATTCACAAATAACCCTCTCTGGAAAATCCTAAATTGTAGGATAGTTTGGCCGTTAAAATGATTTTTGATTCGATTTCTAGCGAGAAGTGCATATTGTACTTTTAGAATCCACGTCCAGTGGATGTGTAGGAGCTATAGTTTGATAGATATTACGAAGATTATTTGAGGTCTCGCCAGGAGAACGTCAATATACTACGTCTTTCCCCCTATTAATTTCTATTGACCTGCGTCCATGTAAAGTTAGCGTCAACCCTCACAGGGTGAAAACAGACTTTCCGGTCTTGAAGTTTTCATAGTAAAACCGGAAGTATTCCCTTCACTGTCAAATGATTTTACAGTGAAATCTGCAGTACTCATCAACTAAAAAACATCAGTTTATCCTAATTACACAACTTTGATTGGTTTAAATGGTGTACAATGCTTTTGTGTTTTTCCCATAGATTTTTCCCTTTCGATTCTGAGAGACATATTTCTTTTTTCAGAGGTTTTGACAGGCGAAAACATCTAACTACTACTATAATCCTTAGCTATCGTTGAAGCTCGGTGATTGGATGTTTTAGCCGCAATGCACGTTGGGATATGGTGTTTATGCGATATGAAATCCGAAAACATTAAAAAAAAAATAAGAGTACATACAAAATAGAGGGAAAGTAGAAGGTCAATGATAGAAATATAGAATAGAAAATATCAAGAAGATACTGTAAGTGATCTCTACAATAAAACAGTTTAGTGGAGGACGTCCAAAGATATTAACAGGAGGATGTGCAAAACAGACAAACTAATTAGGCTTTATTTAAATATTAAAGAATACTTTAGGTTAAGGTCTTCTTTTAAATAAGAAAAAAGCTTTGGGGGTATCTACAGATAAATATTAAGCCTCACAAAGTACTTAACATCTAATATTATTGTTTGTTTTGGAACTTGACAATCAACTTTCCCATGAGTGGCCCATGGTGGTGGTGGGGTTATGGTATGGGCCGGCGTATGTTATGGACGACGTTCACAGGCCACTCGATTCACAACATTACCCTAACCCTAACCCTAACCCTACCCCTCACACCAGATACTGACTGGTTTTCGGACCCCCCCAATAAAGCAAAACTGCACGTTTCAGAGTGGCCTTTTATTGTGGCCAGCCTAAGGCACACCTGTGCAATAATCATGCTGTCTAATCAGCATCTTTATATGCCACACCTGTGAGGTGGGATGGATTATCTCGGCAAAGGAGAAGTGCTCACTATCACAGATTTGTTCAGATTTGTGAACAATATTTGAGAGAAATGGTTATTTTGTGCATATAGAAAATGTTTTAGATCTTTGAGTTCATCTCATGAAAAATGGGAGCAAAAACAAAAGTGTTGCGTTTATATTTTTGTTCAGTGTATTTCAAATAAAAACAAAGACATACACTCAGTGGCCACTTTATTAGGTACACCTGTTCAACTGCTCGTTATAGCAAATATCTAATCAGCCAATCACATGACGGCAACTCAAGGCATTTAGGCATGTAAACATGGTAAACACGACCTGGTGAAGTTCAAACAGAGCATCAGAACGGGGAAGAAAGTTGATTTAAGTGACTTTGAACGTGGCATGGTTGTTGGTGCCAGACGGGCTGGTCTGAGTAATTCAGAAACTGCTGATCTAGTGGGATTTTCCCACACAACCGTCTCTAGAGTTTAAAGAGAAAGGTCAGAGAAAGAGAAAATATCCAGTGAGCGACAGTTCTCTGGGCGAAAAGGCCTTGTTGACGCCAGAGGTCAGAGGAGAATGGCCAAACTGGTTAAAGATCATAGCAAGGTGTAGCTAATAAAGTGGGTGGTGAGTGTACATATTAGGGGAATAGAACAGCTACTACACACATACTTACTTGTTACGATGTGGTCCGTATGTGTCCAGCATGAGCGTGCTGGCCTGTTCCAGGTTCCACTGGCAGCGCTGCAGAAGTTCCTCACACTCAGATCTCGACCTCAGGCCAAGACGAAACAGCTGCTCCACCTTCAATACATACAGCAAGAACATGAAATGTAGGAAGGCAGGTAGTATTGACTGCTATTGTTTGAGTATTGAATGATGTCTCTGATTCACACTGTGTTATATGCATTCAGTCCTATGATTCTCATTCTCTCTCAGCATAGAAAGAAAGGAGAGTTACAGTTGAACAGAAGTTCTTATACAGTTCCATTCATCCTCCTATCATGTATGTCCTTGAGCTTTCTCTTACTAACGGAAGTCTATATAACCATTTATTTAATGTATGTTCATTTTACCTAACTGTTGTGTAACTCACGCTGAGTCAGATGGGTTCGTGAGCTAAATGACTGTCGGTCACATTTGCTTAGATTTATGGAGTCAGATCAGTTTCAATATTATTAAACGCAAACATAAAGATTCACAAATGTATTGCAAATGTAATTGTTAGCTTTGCACCACATTGTATTACTAAGTTTTAGGGTACCTGGTGACAACATCTACTCTACAGGTGGGGTTTAGCTTTCAAGGTTAACAAAGTATTTTAAAAACACAAGTGTACCTTTAAAACGTTTACTGCATGGGGGGTGCTCCAGTTGTGACTTTGCAGAGCTGCCTGACACTCTTCCAGCGTGACACCGTGTACTGCTCCTTGGACCTGTCAATAACGGACCTTATAGTCATCAGACCATTTTACCAAAGCCTTTTTTTTTGTAAGCTACACCACATTTACCCATTCACACTGCTCATAATCTAATATCTATTATTTATTCACATACACTCTGACACTGATGGCGAAGTCTTCTGGAGCGTTTTAGGGCCCAATGACACAGGGGTTGCAGTCGAATAGTAAAAAAATCAGCTCCTATCGTCTATTCCTATCCACTATTCCTTGACCTCTGTTTGAAACGTCACGGGGTTAAGGGATAGTGGATAGGAGAATTCAAAAGGACTTAGGAGAAGAGACTGCGGTGCTTTGAGAATCTGACTGCACTTACACTATCGGACATATTTATGATGCGCCATTGGACGTCATAAATGTGCGTCTGCTGTCGGGAAACTACAGTTTTCTATACAGCAGACTACATGGAGGTATAATAAGAACGGCAGACTACTGTAAACCCATCTAGATATTTTGCACCGTGCTCTTATGGTGTTGTTTTATGCTTTATGAACGTGGACAAAAGAGAAACATAATCATCATAACCGAGGTTGGAATTCAAATAAAAAAGGAAAGTGAAACTAATGCTTGTCACCCTCCCCCTCCGGTCCACATTAATACAAATGATCCCAATACGTATGATTGTATGAAAATATCTTAAAATAAATACAAATGTAATTATTATAAAGTGTTAGTCCTTAACCTATCACTGTGTATATCACCATTAAACATGTTTTTAAAAGTTTAAGAAACCCCACACAGCTCAATAAACACTGTGAAATGTTGACTTTATTTGATCATTCCAGTAAAAACTAACGTTCATATTTCTCCTTTTGATTATTATAGTGATGAACGTTTAAAACAAAGCACTTTGGCAAGTTACCACATACATTTTAAAATGCTTAATAAGCACCTTAACTTTCATGATACTAATTTCTCGGTCATAATCGGTTGTTTCCGTGAACGGCCGAATGTTTTGTCACGGTAAATGTTGACCTTCCTTTACGAAAGGAAAAGGAAGGTCAACATTCACCGTGGTATATTGTGTGACAGCATGTTCTCTTTTCCTTTCGTAAAGTAAAGGCCCGGACACACCAAGCCGATTTTGGCCGTCGGTGGGCGTCAGGCCGACGATGAACGTTGACAAGCCCTACTCAGATTGGTGTGTCCCGCACCGTTGTGTCTTTTCAGCCTGCCGACGCCTTTTCGGCCGAAAACCCGCTGATTCAACATGTTGAATCGGCAGGCAGTCGGCAAAATAAATCACTCTAATTGGCTGTTCAGCTAGCGAGCCCATGAGCTTCTCGTTGTAGAGTGAAAATGGAACGCACACGCTATTTGTTGTTTGTTTATATCACGCAGTCTGTTCTTCTTCTCTCGGTTATCACGAAGTCTTTCGTCCGGTTGTTGCCTCTTTTGAATGACGAATACACACTACCGCCGCCTGCTGGTAAGGAGAGTTATTGCCACTCACGCATGCGCAGTTCGTACGTGCATCTTGGCCATCGGCTGAAGTCTTTGCGGTGTGTTCCAGTGCGACACATGGCCAAAACGCAGAGACGCGAGGCGACGCAACAGTCGGGGTCAGTCTGTGTCAGTTATTTGGTGTCAGCTTGGTGTGTCGGGCCTTAAGATCCAGTGTTTCCTAAGCTAAAGGAGGTTATAAAGGACGTTTCAAACCTCCTTTCCTATCATCTAGAGAACTCGAACGGCTCTTATCATGGCTGCCACCGAGGTACTTCCGGGTCATTTCACTCCGTTAGGAAGGTTCCTAAGCTAAACTGACAATTCGACCGCAGCCTTGGACTTATGGACTTGAGGAGCCAGGGGTGGAACTTCTGATCCAGTAATGGACGATGTGCTCTATTTTCTGAGCAGTAGACTCCATACCGCACGATGAAGTTATAATGAATGGAGGATTAAAGTTTAAAGGTATTTAAAGAATAGATAGTGAATAGGTTAATGCCTCCTTCTGATCTCCTTTTCAGAAAGGTAACATGATTCTACAAAGAGGAAACACATAACTCTGCAATAACTCCTATGCCAGATGTGAAGTTGTCTCAGACAAGTCAATGATGACCTGCTTTCCTCACATTATCAGAATTCCTGTTATGTGGTTTACATTTCAATTGAGTTTCCACTTGGGGCAAGGTACAGTGAGATTACAACATCAAGCATGGCTGTGACTGTGTTATTAGGGTTCGATCCACTTCATGTGAGGTAATCAAACCATTTATGATGAAAGTATTTTAGCTAATGGTCTAATATTTAATGAGGCCATATTTAAAGAAGAAGGGAAAAGTCAGAGTGGTAGGTTAAAGCCTAAAGGGTTTTATGTCTATCAGATATCTGGCAGGTCTCTTTGGGTTTAATTATGTGTGTGGTGTTGTAACTAGTTCTATGATTAACTACAACACTAATAGCAAGTGTTAATGAGATGTTGGTATCAATAAGGGATGGACTCACAGTCTGTAATGAAATTATGCCTGTGCCGTTTTGAAGTCAGTTCAATGTTCATGGACAAAAGGGGAGTCCTGCAGTGTTAGAATGAAGGTCATGCCTAAAAGATCATTTTTTACAGAAAGGTTTTTAAATATGTCTACAAAAGGGACTTTTCAAAACATTAGGGCAGATGTTATGTAGTCTCACACAGCTGTATTTGAATAATAAGAAGTTCATAAATCGGTTCAATATTTACAAATCAGTGAAGGAGTTACTACTGTAAGTTAAAAGCGTTTTAAAGCCAAAGTAGCAATGTGCTTGACTAATTGATTAATATGGATCAGGGAATTTTAAATCCAACATGCTGAGGGTGACTCATTTGACTGATTTGTCTGCATGTGGCATTTAAAATAAATGTGCGCATTTTATTTACCTCTCTCTTACCTGTGTGACAGTCTGCTCCTGAAGCATGCTGGGAGCTGCAGTTCGCCCATTGTTGTTGTTGTAGGAGGAGTTTGGTTTGGCTCCGCTGGGATGTTGAATCATTGGTTTGACTGCCGCCATATTAGCTGTTCCATATCTAACACAAAATGGTGACAGTTTTTTTGTTATTATAGATACATTTTATGAAAGGCATGGTTACAGTACTGTACTGTATTAATTTATATAATAAAAAACTGCTTGTTTATTATTGTATATTAACAATTTATACACATGTTTATAATCCATAAATATGTATTTTACAAATATATTGTTTATTTCATACATTATGGATTAACTGGCATTCTGCCTATGAAGATCAGAATATGATGAAAAGCTCAAAATCAGCTGGTAGATTCAAACCTAAGTGAACTCAGAACGAATCCCCCTAGATTAGCAATTATAGCTTATACTGTATGGAGCTAGTTCCAGGATCATTTATTGGCTAAACAAGCTAGTTGGACAGTGTTTGATATCAGAAACACACCTTTCCAGAAAAGCTGGTCGCTCTGGCAACGGAGCCGGAGCAGAGCTCTGGGAGCTGTCAATCAGTGAGGAGAGGCCGCGCCCCTCACGAAAAGCAAGAGGATCCAGTATGGAGCTGGATGAGTAGGATGAACCACTAGCTGCTTGCCGTGAGGAGTGTGATGTGGAGTGAGACGGGGAGGAGTTGGAGGACAGAAGGGGTCCCAGGAGTCCTGATGCCCTGCGAGGGGAGCTTGAGATAGGGGGAGGGGGCAGGGCCATGGGGTAGGAGGACAGCGGGGGCACCAGGGGGAGTGGAGAGGAGGAGCGGGAGCCTGGCTGAGAGAAGGCGTGGTCTCTGGGTGGGATCTGAGGAGGTCTGTCTTCCACATCGCCCATGGAGATGGAGCTGGGGCGTGCCTGGGGGTGGGGGGTGTGGGTAGAGGGGATGCGCTTGGACGGACGCAACGGGGGGACGGGGCTGCGAGGGGGCAGCACGGGACGGTCATCCAGGCAGGAGGGGGCGTAGGTGGGGGACGGAGGGGGCAGGTAGATCTGTCGGTGGGTGCTCGGAGGAGCCAGGGTCATCGGGAGCGGGGAGGAGGGGAGAGAGCGGCCCGTTGACATGGGAACCTGAAGCTTCACCATCACCTACACCCACAAAAAACAGATTAGCACAGTGGTTCTCAAATGGGGGTATGCGGACCCCTAGGGGTACGTTGGAATACTGCAGGGGGTACGTGAGATTTATTTTATGTTAATGAAAAAAAACGTAATTAATGCATTTAAACAAACTACTAATAGTAGATTAACTACTTTCTTCAAAAGTTTACAGTAATTCTGGATAATAAAATGGGAACAATAAACGGGGTGCTCTCTTTTCCTCTCCCTCTCCTGACAGCCGGTCAGTCTCGTGCAGCTCGCTGAACCTGTAATAAGTGACCCGACAGTAAAGAATAAATATATGTATAACTAAACTTTAGCTAGTTCCAGAGGTGGGACCAAGTCATTGTTTTGCAAGTCTGAGTCAAGTCTCAAGTCTTTGCGCTCAAGTCCAAGTCAAGTCTCAAGTCTTTGTTTTGCAAGTCCGAGTGAAGTCTCAAGTCATTGTTTTGCAAGTCCAAGTCAAGTCTCAAGTCAGGATGGGCAAGTTCAAGTCAAGTCAAGTCCTAAACTTTGACAAAACGAGTCATAAACAAGTCATTATGTGTTTTTCACCAAATGTAATGACATCGATCAACAGAATAATACTTAATAATCAAACTGCTCTTTATTAGTCACATTAATAATTTAATAATCCATTTTCTCTCTGCTGGTAAAGTAACGTGTGTTTTTCTATTTGAAGAGGGATCAGTAATGTTAGGCTACCGTGACGGTTTGATTCAGAAGGAGTTAAATTGATAAGATCCCTGATGTTGAGGTAATCAGAATGTTTATTTCCACTGTGTACAACATGGGTCGGCAACAGGCGGCCCGCGGGCCATTGTTGGCCCGCCAGCAATAATATTTGGCCCGTAATTTTGAAAATCAAAAATAAAATATTATTTTGATTTTTTTTTTTTTTTTTTTTTTTACAACATAGGACCGACACATCAGGGTTTCCGTTAGCCGCCGGTCATTATCGGCCGCCGGTCATTATCGGCCGATATTCACTCTTAATAGTTTGATCGGTGCTCTCTATAAAGGCCGATCAGGAGAGCTGGATCTGATCGATATGGACATAAACGCGAGTGAAGTGTAACCGGACCCGAGAGAGAGATCAGATCAGCTGCTGAGTCTGATGGAGGCAGCTCTGCATGATCACCTGAAGCCCCGCCCACTGTTTAGCGAGCTGCATGAGAAACTGACAGGCTGTCAGGAGAGAGAGGGAGGGAGAGGGGAAAAGAGAGCATCCGTTTCTCCCGTGTTATTATTCAAAGTTAATGTAAACTTTTGAATAATGTACTTCATCTACTACAAGTAGTTTGTTTGAATGTAATAATTATGTTTGTTGAATCATTTATAGACAAATGAATCTGAACTTTTCGATCTGTAACGATTATAAACTGAAGCAATATAAAAACGAGCCCCATTAACTGAGTTTTAAACATCAGCATATCCGGTCCTAGTCCGGTGATTACCTGCTAACGGAAACTTTGCTACACCATTCTTATTATTATTATTATTGAAACATGACCGGTAAGTTTCAAATTTGTCCGGTAAAATAAATTCTGTCCCGACATATCCGCTTACATTCATAATGTCAGCGGAGGGAGGGGAAGCGGCGCTGTGGAAGAGCAGAGTGGCGAGGGAGAGCTGTCATCTTCCCTTTACAAGCTTCAAACATGTATTTATCGTGTGATTTTGGAGAAAAAAAATTCATATTCTGAAAGCCAAGACTTTGTTTATTTAAAATCAAACAAAACACCCGATCCCCGAAAAACTATTTTTTTACGCAAATCCACGTTTATTTTTAAATGAGCCGTTGCGGACTGATTTCAATAGAGCGGGTCACATATGGCAAATGTGTGGTTGTGGGGAACCAGGTCAATTCAAGTACTTATTTAACTATTAAATACATTGAGTTTGAGTAAAATACTTGGTTACTGATTAATTTAGGTTATAATATATGAAATTGCAAAGCAAAACTGCTGTAATTGATTTATGTTGTTCTTTGGTATTTTTTTAAAGGTTTTCAACCTGAAAGAATCCTAATGTGTCCTTGAAAAGTTGAAATAAAGAAAAGGAAAAAGGATTCCAGTTGTCCCTCAAGCCTCTCAAATGTGGGCAAACACTCAAATAAATGCCAAAACCCCAGAGAACTTGACAATACTTATAAAAGTATGTTAAATAACACTGCTACCTAGTTAATAACTCTACTTTACTCAGTGGAGGCTCGTCCATTGAGGAAAGGGAGGACCATCCTCCCTACAATTTCAGAGAAAAATAAACTTTGAAGAGAACAATAAATACACCTCAATTTAAAAGATAAGTCTGTTAAAATACAGATAATAGCCTTGGCTTTGGGACTGAAATGGGGCTAGAGAGGACGAGCCTCCCTTTGGGCAGCTCTAGCCAGAGGCTCTGGATTGGGCGCTTATATCACCAGTGAACCAATCAGCGGATCTGACTGCGCATCAGAGTGTTGATGGGGAGGGTCATCAGCGATATCAGAGTTTTTTCTGAACCGCGGAACAGGGGCGCTGCGCCCTCTTACCAAAATCAATTCCTTGAATTAGGCTTTGATTATGTTCTGGCCCGCCATCTTGCGGCTCAGAAAAAATTTGGCCCACGGCCAAACTTACTTGCCTACCCCTGGTGTACAACATGTTATAAGGGAGCACAATCTATCTTTATGCAAGGGATAATGTGCAGCGAGGCGGTCTCTATGGGGAAAAGAACACCTGCATCTAGATCCCTCTGCAGGTGGTACTTTAACTATATGTTAATGCTAATACTTTTCTACTTTTACTTGTAACATTTTGAATGCAGGACTTTTTATTGTACAGGGTTCCTGCAGGTTTCGCCAACTCAAATTTAAGACTTTTTAACACCTTTTTAAGACCACTTTGAATAGAATTTAAGACCTATTTCACGGCAATAAAGTATGAAGGAAAATGTATATAAAGAAGAAATACGTCCCATAATCACTTACAAAGTAAATGTATTCATGTTCAACATAAGAACAATGACTGAACACAACAGCATAACAGTACAGAACTGTGTTAGCGTGTTAGACAAAAAGTGTGTATGTGTGTGTGTGTGTGTGTGTGTGTGTGTGTGTGTGTTAGGGCTGTGCAATTAATCATATTTTAATTGCAATTACGATTTTGGCCTGCCACAATTACGAAAACAACATAATCGGAAAAAAAGATTATTTTGCTTTGCTAGGTTGTGACAGTGCACTACAACATATTTGATCTAATTAATTTTTTAGTAATGTATCATTTTTGTATTGGTTTTTCAGTTGAATTATACGTTCAACTTCAGGGTAATCAACAGTTAAAAAGATACTGTTCAAATTATTATTTGTTTTAAAGTTCAATAAATGGATGTTTTCAAAGTCAATGAATAATCATATTTAATAATCGTGATATTAATTATTGACCAACATAATCTTGATTATTGCCATAATCGAGCAGCCCTAGTGTGTGTGTGTGTGTGTGTGTGTGTGTGTGTGTGTGTGTGTGTGTGTGTGTGTGTGTGTGTGTGTGTGTGTGTGTGTGTGTGTGTGTGTGTGTGTGTGTGTGTGTGTGTGTGTGTGTGTGTGTGTGTGTGTGTGTGTGTGTGTGTGTGTGTGAGAGAGAGTGACAAGAGCTATATTCAGAGCTCTGCTGCCTTGGCTACACTATTTCATCGTTGCTGTTGTATGATTGGTGTTTAGCTACGGTATTTAGCGTCTACAGCACCTCCGCTTTTAGGGTTGACGTAGACCCAAACTTCGCCCGGAGGTCCCCCGGTGTTGTTGCGGGAGCTGCTGCACTAGCTAACGCTGCATTAGCTGCTGCTGCACTAGCTAACGCTACATTAGCAAAACAAACACTAATTTATTTTGCAAAAGATGCAGCGGGCTTCAAACACGTTCCCTCCACTGGTTTCAACCAAGCACTAAATTAGATGTTTTCCAACCAAATACGGTTGAACTTACACTTCCCCATATTTATTTGTAAGTAGATTCGAAGATAGGCTACATGAGCTGAACCTTGGTTGCTAGGTTACTAGCTGGGTGTTCTCCAATAAGGGGCCGGGGGAATCAAAGTTAGTGATTACTGGTTCCATGTTGATTTAATTCAATACAAATTGTTGGGGGGAACTGAAAGGCTATTACCGTACTGGTTACTTTGCAGCCCGGACATTTCCCCCAAAACACATTTAGACGCTATCGCAACATAGAAGTACCTTTCAAATCCGATATTTTTTAAGACCTTCTGAATCATATTTAAGACCTTTTTAAGGCCTTAAATTCTGATTATCAAATGTAAGACTTTTTAAGACTTGTTAAGCCCCCGCGGGAACCCTGATTGTAACTTTTTTTAATTGTCTGAACTTCTCCCACCTCTGACAATAAATCCTGAGTGGTTACCAAAAAAAACCCTGCTCTGAAGGTTATTTTCATTTTACAAATCCTGCACTCAGCTTTGCTTTCTCCAATATCATTGAAAAGCAGCCAGATGATGCTTCTTTTTTCGGTTTTCGCTCATTTCTTGATTTTTTCCGACGCGCTTGCATTTAAATCCGGCTCCCCGTCGCTCTGTGCAGCTGGCCTGTACCACTACACATGCTGTGCCCCCCACCCTTCTTTCACATAATGGTATGATCCTAGTGTGTCCTCGCATATGATTGGCCGCATGGTGGTCCAGCTAAATAAAGACTCGCCCCTGCCTGCAAGGATTCTCAGCAAGAGTAGGAGCGGCTGAAGATTATGCTTTCCCCGACGGGAGTCTGCTCTTCTAACGGCAGCTCGCAATCGGCGTGTTGGAGACCTCTGAATTAAAGTATCAAGTCACCTCAAGTCAGAAGGCTCAAGTCCAAGTCAAGTCCCGAGTCATTGGTGTTCAAGTCCAAGTCGAGTCGCAAGTCTTTTGTGATGTTGTCAAGTCGAGTCTCAAGTCATAAAATGTGTGACTCGAGTCTGACTCGAGTCCAAGTCATGTGACCCGAGTCCACACCTCTGGCTAGTTCCAGAGTAGATGAAATAGCTAAGTGTGTTAGGTCTAACTCTTAGTGTATTTTGCTCCGCTCAACGGTCCGTCACAGCGGCGGAGCTGTGATCATGCAGAGCTGCGTGGTCTCCGTCAGCAGCAGCTGATCTGATCTCTGATCTCTCTCGCGTCCGGTTAGAATTCACTCGCGTTTATGTCCAAATCTATCAGATCTAGCTAGTTCTAGTTAATAATATGACTGCCTGCTTATCAAAGGACCTCAACAATAAGCGTTGCTTGGCAACGGCGTGTGGCCGCAAAGTATAGCATTATGCATATGAGGGGTCAAAATCCCATGCTCATAAAATGCTCATATATCTTTTTCTCTTCATTCCCCACGCCCCTAAATAAATAAATATACTAATTTTAGGAAAAGTAACGAAGTTTGAGCAGTGTGGGTTTTATATTAACAGAGTTACACATATTTCAAAACGCGAAGTGTAATAACTGCAGTGGCCTTCCTGTCACCGAGAATGACAAAGATCCTCAGTGAAGCACAAGCCCATATTGCTCACTAAATTGTAAGTACAACTTATTAAAAAGATCAGTTCAATGCAACTAATGTCGTCTTAGTGTTATTGCATGATGTTAAAATGGGTTTGCCATGAATTTAGTGATGGATTGTAAACATTTGAAATGTAGCATTTAAGTGTTTCTCAGTTACAATGTCGTTGTTTTAATAAATCAGACACTGATGGTGCAGCACTTTACTGTACCTCTTTATATAGGCACATTTTCCCTAAACATTTTTTTTGCGCTGATCAGGGGGTACTTTTTTTTCAAAGGGGATACATAATTGAAAAAAGTTTGAGAACCACTGGATTAGCATGTGTCTGTTTGTGTCCACAAAAACTGAAACAATGTGTCCATTACCTCTCTCTGTAACTCTTGGAAGAGGTCAGCTGACTGCGACTCGCTCCGGCCAACCATACTAATGCTGGCGGTGGGCGTGGTCTCCTCAGTGAATCCCTTGTTAATAGACCGCACCTCCTGGTCCTCTGATTGGTCCTCGAGCTCGGTAGTCACCTCGTCATAAGATGGTTGAGGGAGAGGCCAGTCCAGGATGGACGGAGTGTCCTGTATGAGAAGGAGGGACATTGCAGAATCTGAGAAAAATGTCATAGACAGTGCTAAAGACTTATTAGTCTTTAGCACTGTCTCTACCAACTCTACCAACTAGGGGAAATTTATACATTATAAAAGCCAACCTTGGAACAGAGAATGACTCAATAGTATGTCGTGGCCAGCTTCATACTGTATGTCGAGAAAAAATAACAATCTAGTATTGTTGTTGAATTAACCTTGGCGAACAACATTTGTCATCTACCTAGAACTTGTATGGTTTAAACATCATAGCTCATCAAAAGAACTGGGCAGGACTGGAAGAAGCAATGGCTGTAGAAGTTTTAGATTTACAACAAAAAATCTGCACATTACATATGTGACATATTTATGTAGCAAAAAAGTATGAACAACCAAACTCGTTGAGCTGATGGAAAAATGCTTAAAAGTTAAGCGGAAATATGACTGTGAAGCCCTTAAGTAAGCCACTAAATTACGAATGTGCACATAACCAATCAATGAGTGCAAATCTGTTTCACTGTATCTGCCTTCGGCTCAAGGACAAAAGTTTATTCAAGACTTTTCTTAGTCAAAAGCTGGAACACATCCTTTAGAGAACACAAAACTGTGATCACATAGTGTGAGAAGGTCTATGGCAGGGCTATTCAACTGGCGGCCCGCGGGCCAAATCCGGCCCCTGGGTGATATTTACTGGCCCTTTCAGTATAATGTTAAAAAGTAAAAAAAAAAAAAAAAGTTTAATTAAAAAAAATTTTTTTATTTAATAATTTTTTTTTTTGGACCAGAGTGCCTTTATTCCTGAGAGGGTGTTACATTGAGAGATAGAGGGGAAGACATTGCCTGAAAACTTTGGCGGGCTCGGGTTTCGAACCCACCTACTACCAACTCCTGTCATTTATAGCGTCTCTCGCGGCTCGCGCTGCCCTTCACTACAAGCTCGCGCACTTTCGACGGTTTCGCGCCAATGGAACGATTAATCAAACCTGGTCAGCATAGTTGGATATCAAAATGTCTCTTTCTACGTTAAAAAAACGAAAGGTTGACACCGAAAACCAGCAACTCAACAGCGAGTGGGGAAAGAGAAGTACTTGTGTGTAAATGTCAGTGGGAGGCCCGTGTGTTTAATCTGCAATGAGTGTTTATCGGTGTGTAAAGAGTACAACTTGAGAAGGCATTTTAAGACAGCTCACGCCAACTTTGACGCCACTTTTCCAGCGGGCTCTGATGCTCGCCGCCAGAAGATTTTGGGGCTAACTTCGTGCTATGACCAAAGACGTAGCTCCCTGTTTCGGGCTTGCACTGACCAAGAGAGAGCTACCGCAGCATCCCTACGAGTGGCCTGGATATTAGGCAAAAAGAAAAGGCCTTTTACGGACGCAGAGACAGTCAAAGAGTGTATGCTTGCATCAATTGAGTAAGTGGTAGCAGATGAGAAAATCAGAAAAAGCGTTATTGACTCAATTAAGAACATTCTGATTCCTGACACGTCAACATCAAGGAGAGTGGAGACCCTTGAATCGGACGTTTTTGAGATTCTCTTGGACAAACTGAGAAAGACGGAGGTTATGTCGCTAGCTATTGATGAATCCACTGACAGCAGCGATGTTGCACAGCTGTGCCTCTATGTTAGATTATTTGATGGTGAGTGCTTTCGGGAGGATCTACTTGGATTAATTCCTTTGGATGGACACACGACCGGTGAGGTGATGTTCCACAAAGTGGTTTCGTTTTTCACGGAGCACAAGTTGGGATTGGATCGTATTAACATGCTTGTAACGGATGGGGCCCCTGCGATGTCGGGCCGAACACAGGGACTGTCCGCTAGGCTGGCAGATGTGGCTCCACAGCTGAGATCGCTGTATTGCCTAATCCACCAAAGCCTCCTGTGCGCAAAACTGAGTGGCGAGTTAAAAAACACAATGGACTCTGTCATGGCGATTATTAACTTTATTCGTTGTAACTCCAGTTTACAGCACCGCCTTTTCCACCAGATGTTGTCAGACATGTCAGCTCAATATAATGATTTGCTCATGCACAGTGCCATTAGATGGCTAAGGAAAGGAAACGTCTTGAAACGATTTTGTGAACTTAAGGAGGAGATCATGGCGTTTCTCCGCAATTCAAAACATAAAAAAGCCAACGCCTTTCTGTGTCTGATAGAGAATGATGAGTTTTACGCTGCTGTTTGCTTTTTGAGCGACATTTTCCAACATCTGAACCAACTCAATTTGGAGCTGCAGGGCAGAGATAAAATGGTTACACAACTTGTGGAGAGACTCCATGCGTTTCAAATAAAGCTCACACTTTTTTTTGCGGATTTATGTCCAGGCAAAATGCTCCATTTTCCAACACTGCGCACTGCAGGTTTACAAATCACTGAGGTGATGACTGGATTTACGGACACATTGAAAACCAACTTTGCCGCGAGGTTTGAACATTTCAGTCTCCCGACTGAAGTGATGAGATTTGTGAAGGACCCTTTCTCTGTGAATGTAGAGGGGGAGTTTGCACTGAAAGCAAAGGAGCTGATTGTGACATTAATGAGGCGTCTTTACAACTCGAACTTATTGACATTCAGTCATCAGATGACCTGCGACAGTCATTTCAGCTGGCAGGTTCTGAAAAGTTCTGGACTCATGAAGTCAGCCACGAGAAATTCCCTCATTCAAGGGGTCTTGCACTTTTTGTCCTCACAATGTTTGGCTCGACTTACACGTGCGAATCAGCATTCTCACACATGAAAACTAATAATCGTGCATCCCTCTCCGACCAGCATCTGCATCACTGTATGCGTATTGCCATGACAACGTATACTCCTGACTTCCCTGCTCTTGCTAAATTGAAAAAATGCCAATTCTCTCATTAGATGGCACATATCTGCCAAGTTGGTTGCATACAGTTATCACTATGTTAATCAAAAAAGGTTTGAGTTTTAAAAGGCTGTGTGTTGTGGTTTGGTAATTAATACAAGTCTTTTGACAATTGTTTTTGCTTTTAATTAAGCAATTGATGTGGTATGGCTCACTTGTCTTTATTGTTATTATACCATAATATGCACTGTTGTTTGTGTCTGGCCCTAAATTGCTATTTTGTGTGAATTATTAGATAATTTAATCTAAATCTAATGATGTTGATGGTTATATTAGCTTCACATGTACTGAGTTCTGAACTTGCCATTTATAAAGGCCTTGGGGCTATGTTTGATTTAATTAAACAAAATATATGCACTCCACTATGCTGTTGTAGTCATTTAATTTAATTTCAAACCTTTATTTATGCAGGTGAATCCCACTGAGATCATTGATCTCTTTTTCAAGGGTGACCTGCTGTAGTATTTACTGTATCTGAAGCTCTTAATATGATTGCTCATATTTCAAGTCATTTTTTTCCCGGCCCCTTGCTTTGGATCATTTTCATCAACCGGCCCCCATTCCAAACTACTTGAATAGCCCTGGTCTATGGTATTTGACAAAACTTTAAGATCATGTACTGCTGGAGAAAAATGGCTTTCTGTGTGGGATGGTGTGGGACTGGAAACCAAAGGGAATAAAGGTAGTGGATACACGAGATCAGAGGGGAAAATTATGCGTGTAAAATATAAAAACCTCTCCACGTCCTATGATTGCAGCTGTGAAAAAGTGCTGTATGTGCAGCTTTAGATAATGCAAATCATTCTTTTCCATCAACCTTCCATTCTGTGAAAGGGCGCCAGCAGTAGGAGGTAGGAAGCATGGATACTGTTATGAAATCTGCACACAGCACCACTGCTCTGCGTTCATTCTATTTTGCACAGGTGACCACTCTTGACTTTACAGTGAAAAATGTTTCACTTGGACGACTATTCTAAAAGAGACGTCTTTATAACTGTTGACAGGAAACTGTGAAGTTCATAATGGCTGTGTACCAAGTTTCTAAGCGACTTAGACTGCAAGGATGTCTTCGTTCTGATTTGTGTTCCATTAAATGCCAAATCTTTTGTGAAGACACAATGTAGGCTTGGCATAAAAAACTTGAACCAAGGTAAATTACAGCATCATAGAATCTTATCGCCATCCAAACTGAATCTATACAGGTCCGTTGATTTGAGGATTGCAATATGCTATAGCACTAAATATAATAACTCAATTACAAGACTACACGTTAACATAATAACAAAGTCAAAAGTGTTAAGATCCAAACTTGCAGACTTTTAGCATCTTACTAGCATACTGTTATGTTCACCTGGCGTAACAAATAACATACATGAAGAATATGTAATCTGCCTGCTAACTATCAGTCCTCAGTTTTTAGGTTTTATAATTGTAGAACCTTTCTTGAACCATAAAAAGGGATTAAAACATTTGTTACGTCACATTGTTAAGTCTATGGGCCGAGTGGGTTCTTGAGGGCGGGGCCAGGGGGACAAAACACAATATTAAATCAGCCGAATACTATAAGTGTGCAACTCGATTTTGACAGGAAAGCAAATGGAGACTTCTAGAATTGTGTGAGTAACATTCTGTTTTTAGACTTCTCTGTTTCAGTGTGTATACTCTGTATCAATGCTCTGTAGTTGATCTGACTGAAATTGTGATTTTAAATCTCAAAACCGCTACAGTATCTGTCAGGCAGAAACTTGGGACAAGTAATTTGACTGAAACCTTAAAACTGAACTAACTGACTGCTAGAGTTAACTTTGATTTAAACATTTGTAGAATACTAAGAGTTTATTGAGTAGGTGTAACTGTATTAATTGTTAAACTCATAACTTTATAACTTAGGGTTTAATGTAATTGTAAAACCATTGGGCCACTTAAAATACAATAACAAGTCAGGAGGGAGCCAGTCTAGATTTCCTTTTGAGGGCCACCAGCTGCAGAGAGTTAACTAATTAAAGGGACGTTGCCCCACAGCTGTGAGAACTCAGCAATCAGGTGTCCATTTTAGGTAGCACTTTCCTGGAGCGTCAGCTTCAGCGTCAGACAGGCTAAGACTGACAAAGACATTGGAGTCCTGCGGGAGTAAGACTGACAAAGACATTGGAGTCCTGCGGGAGTCACGAGGGAGGCAAAGAGGAGGCAAATCCTACTTTGATTGAGCTAAAGTATCGCTGGTGTTTTATTTTATTTGGTTGTTTAGCCCCTCATGCTATAATCATGTGTATTTTCTCCATTCCTGTTTATGTGTCTTCTCGCAATTATCACTGGCCCCGTGTATCTCGTAATCGACATCAGGAAGATACGTCCCCAGCTGACACAGAAAGCGACTCAGGTTCTGGTCCAGGCTCTCTTCATCTCACGCCTAGACTACTACAACTCCCTCCTGGCTGGTCTACCTGCATGTGCCATCCGACCTCTGCAGCTCATCCAGAATGCAGCGGCTCGTCTGGTCTTCAACCTTCCTAAATTCTCCCACATCACTCCGCTCCTCCGCTCCCTTCACTGGCTTCCGATAACTGCTAGAATCCACTTCAAGACACTGGTACTTGCTTACCATACTGCGAATGGATCTGGCCCTTCCTACATCCAGGACATGGTTAAACCGTACACCCCAGCACGTGCACTCCGCTCTGCATCAACCAAACGGCTCGCTGCACCCTCGCTGCGAAGGGGACCCAAGTTCCCATCAGCAAAAACACGTGGGTTTGCTATCCTGGCTCCAAAATGGTGGAATGAGCTCCCCATTGACATCAGGACAGCAGATAGCTTACACACCTTCCGGCGCAGACTGAAAACTCATCTCTTTCGACTCCACTTCGAGTGATAGAACTATTAACAAAGCACTTATATACTAATAAAGGGCTGGCTTATCTACAGCCAGTTGAGTAGCACTTGAAATGTTTTTGCTCTATGAAGCCTGATGTACTTATATGATTCTGTTTTCTTCAAGTTTGTATTTTGTTGGTCGAACGCACTTATTGTAAGTCGCTTTGGATAAAAGCATCAGCTAAATGCAATGTAATGTAATGTAATGTAAACCCAGAAGCTAGAAAACTGTTATGGTTTAAAATGAATCACATATATAAATATTTCACATCCTAACTACTTTCATTCACTAACAGACAGTACCTTGAGGGTGTCCTCATCCGGCTGCCGCATATCAGCAAGTGGCGAGGGCGTGGTGGAGCTGAAGCTGTCATCAGTGAAGTCGATGAGCGATACTTCACTTTTGGCCGAGCGCACACTGGACCCCTCCCACGGTCTCAGCTTCAGTCCCAGGGACACTCCGAGCTTCCTCAGGCCAGAAGAAGTGCTGGTGTCTTCTTCGTCATCGTAATCGTCGATCACAGAGTCGTAGAATGGCTCTGGATGCACATTCAAGCACCAGTCAGGAAACACAAGGATGTATTTAAATAAAAAATGTTTGATTGTAAACAGTTGCTGAGGAACACTTACTCTTCAGCAGGACAGCAGGTTGAGGCGGACGAGGAGGAGGTTGCTCTGATAAAGAGAGTTTTAGATATTAGTGTATATTCACATAGTGCCTTAAAATGAATAAGAATTATGAGGTGATATTTGTGAAGTAGGACCATTGTAAGCTAGTTACAAGGAGTCCATGTAAAAATACTGTTAGAAAATACTTAGTAAAAGTCCAGTTAATGCTCAAAACCTCAAAAAGTAACATTGAGGAGTAACATTACTGATGCATTAATGTGTTTCTTGCATTTCATTTACTCTTTTTACCTCTACCAGTTTAATCTACATCACTGCATCATATTCTATAATATAATCACATATTTGTAACTTCACTTTTGTGTGATATCCATGTATATCTTCCAAGTCAAGGTTTCATGTGCTTTTTGACAATATATTTTAAGGCTTATCCAAAATAAGCTTTAATAATTAGATGTAGGAGATGTTTCTCAATCTATATAGATACACTTAATGGTCTTAAGTGATCAAATGTGGACATACATGAATTTTTCTTAAAGAATATAAATAAATAGAGTTGCATACAACATTGAATATACCACATCTAATGCATAGTAAAGCACAGCACTTGATTAAATGTACTTGAGTATGTGTACTTAACGTGCCACTAAATATATGTTAAAAAGGTTTGGATAAATGTACTCTTTGCACGGTTGGGGAGTTTGGTCGGCCTTGCGATGCCCGAGTCCATTCCAAGGACGTCAGGAGGGTCCATGGGGTTCCCCAAATACAGACTGAAAGAGAGAAGAGACGTCAATCAGATTTAATGGAATAAACCTGTGGCTGCAAATTAATTCAACATTAGTTTATAAGACAACATTTTTTAACTGAACATGTTATTTATTTTCAGCTGTCCTTTATGTTTGCTATAGTCAATAAGTACTTTTTTCGTGGATACACTTTGCTGGCAGTAAAAATGCTTGAGTTTTTTTATTTTTCTATTATTGCAGCAGATGTGAGTTGTTCTGAATTTCAAGCATGTTCCTATAAAAGCTTAACAAGTGCATCATCTGTTGGTAAACTGACGCAATGCTGCACTCCAGTGGAGACGGCAATGATAGCAGTTCTACAGAATCACATACACATGGTTCGAGCTTAGCATAGCATAGCATTTAGTGATAACTGTTTGTAGTTCAACATTGTCCACTCTATCAATTCAAAATGGTTTTCATGATCTAGATGAGTAGTTCAATATAGGTCGAGGAGGGTAAAATGATGAATAAAGGAATAACAAAGGAACCATTGGTGACTTTTACACAACATGTTATTTAATATAACAACAATTCTTATTACGTTTTTCTCACAAAAATATTGCCATTCAAGCCTTTGAAACATTTATATAACCAGATTGTTTTTCTACTAGTGTTGAACCCTAAATAAAACCATTAATCTATTAATTGATTGTATTATTTCATATTTTGTGTGGATGCAACTGAAGTTAATATGCGTGTATTATTAACCTGTCTATGCGGTCTGCATGTCCCCAGCTCCTGTGAGGGTCCGTGTCTCCGTGCCCCGTGTGGATGAAGGAGTGTTTGAGCGGTTTGCTGATGTCGTGGACGGACGTACCGGCGACTGATGTCACCACGTGACGAGGAAACTGACCGATACGCAGCGTGCCCCTGTTCTGTCCTCTCCACCAGTAATGCTCTGCCCTGAAAACACATATAAGGACATAATAAGGAGGTCTTTTCTGTTTACCACATGACTGGAATCTGAGTCCTCATATACAATGTAATTCAAAAAGAATGGGACTTTCCTGAGTGGAGCAGCTTGTCTAAATCACATGAATGTAAATGACGGCAAATCAATAATAATTGTTTACTTGTGGGTTTTGATTTGGGCATCAATACCCACACAGTATATTTTATAAAATGAGCCATTAACTGCACAGCATTACATAAATGCTCAATAAAGCAAGGAATTCAATATCAACAAAAGATGCATTTGTAGACTTGGAGTAATAACCTTCATTCCAATACGCACTGACACACATAAGCATGACTTTCCAAACCAGTAATTGTGTTAAAATACTGATCTGCTAATGAGAATTAAATGACATTCTTGAAGGTACAGCCATGTGAAATATAACACACTGACCTTCCCTCTATCATGGTGATGACATCGTTCATTTTAATTTGGAGCTTGTCTTCCTCCTCAAAGTCCTGGAGCGCTTTCATATCTGTCGGCATTGTCTGCGGAACACACACACACTTACAGTTAGAGGAAAAAGAGCTACAAACGTCTGATGATGTATTACTGTCATCAGCAGGATCACAAGATACAAACATGTCCTGTCATTCTTTTTAAATGGTGATTTATTTATTTTCTTCTATTGTCCTTTATTTGTCTGCTGCATCACTTTGGTTTCCAACTACTTTTGGAGCTAAAGAAACACATTTAGTGGAAATATGAGATGAAATAACATTCTTTAAGCTTTTAATGTTCTTTGTATATTTAAATTTGGTGTAAATACTTGTCTTTAGTATTCTTTTTTTATGCTAAATTGTTTCTTAAAAATACATGTTTTTTTATTATCCTTATACCTTTCATTTTGTACCTACTATTGCAACTTATTTTCTTAGATTGTTTATGTTCGCACCACCAGATACCAAAGAAAAGTCCTTGTATGTGTAACTGTACCTGGCCATAAACTTGATTCTGATTCTGATTAGACTAATTAACTCTCTAATTTGAAATATATACAACTCATTAGAGGTACTGTAAAAAGTAATGTGGTGTAAATAGATTAAAGTAATTTAGTATAATAATGTCAGCTACTAAGCCATCCTCTCATCTGCAAACCAAAACAAATAATACAAGTGGTAGGACATGCGTAATAGCTGAAAAGCCTATGTATGTGTTCTGGTAAAGCGAGCTGACTGATTCTTGTCAAATACAAATAAAAATACTCTGGTTTAGGCTTTCACTTACAAATAAAATGTTTGCATTTTTCAAAAAAAAGACTGAGTTTATTTTGAGCTACATTTTAGAGAGAAATATTTATATTTTACTCCTCTCAATGTATCTTAATGTACTTTATAACAGAAACAATTTAGAGGAATTTTTTAATTATATGTTGTTTAGAGATCATTTGCCAAATAGTAATATAAGGTTTTGTAACTAATAATAGCTCCAACATAAATTATAATTGATTATATTATTAAGATGTATTGAAAACATTTTTGTAGAGGATATACATTAACCACAACAGATTATGAACTACAGATACATGGTATGGTAATAAGAATAGGATAATATAAGGTATTATACAGATAGAAGCATTACAATGACAGTGGCCATTCTGTTCATTAAAAAAGGTACTTTTTAAACCTAAAGTACTTCTTGCTTAAAAATGCTCTGTTCCTTTACAAGTAACAGAGCATTTTACGTATTTTAAGGATCTGAGTAATAATCTCCCTCTAAGCTTAGTTTGCACATATAACCACCTTTCTGAATGCACCTAAGATCAGTTGTAATACCATGTACGAGTTTCCTCTCTTATGGTTTACATTATCAGGTGGTGCAAAGGGCTTAAAAAGCTGATTTTGACAAATAAACCCTGTATTACCTCCAGCAGGAAGTCTCTGAGGGCGATGAAGGTGGGTCTGTCCTCAGGTTTGGGGCTCCAGCACTGCAGCATTACATTGTAAATGTCCTGAGGACAGTCATCTGGTTTACAGAGCCTCTCAGCATTCACGTCCACCTTGTGGAGAATCTGCAAGCAGACACATAATTAAAAAGCTATAGTATCTTTATTGTGTGGGCAATTTTAGAAACTGCAAGAAGCTAACATAGTTTTTTGGGGTTAAGCTTTTTCGGAAACAGCACATGCAACATTTTAAGTTATGTGAGCACCTGGCTCCCATTAAGGCCCAGCCACGGCTCCTGTCCATGGGTGAACATCTCCCACAGAGTGACCCCAAACATCCAGGTATCAGACGAATGAGAGAAACTACGAGACTTCAGAGACTCTGGAGCACACCTAGAGAGAGACAAGGAAAAATATAGAATAACACAGACACAGAAAATGTAAGAGAGAAAGAAAACTATGGATAAAACCCCATAAAATCTTTCAATCACTTGAGCCTGGATATAAAAATTACATAACGACAAATAATGAAGTGCGATCGGGATGCTCTTCTCACCATGGGAAAGGGATTTTGTGGCCCTCTTCCATGATGTAATGGTCAGTGTGTGTTGGCAGAGCTCTCATCAGGCCAAAGTCACCAATCTTTACGATTTCATTGGTGGACAGCAGAACGTTGCGGGCGGCCAGGTCTCTGTGGAGGAAACGTCTCTGCTCCAGGTAGGCCATGCCGCACGCCACCTAACATCCACACAGACACAAAGAGACACTGGTGGAATGTAACTAAAGTACTATCATACGTAAACATTTGAAGTGATTTGACTTCACTTGGGTATTTCCATTTAATTTATCTTTATTATTCTACTTGACTGTATCTCTGAGGGAAATATTGTACTTTCTTTTCAGGTTACAAACACACAACAAACATACAGCATTATGATCTTATATTGTTTGCACTGCTGGCGATATAAAACAGTATACAAATAAGTTAATATCAGCACAACCTAGAATATCTTTATCATAAATTATAGTTAAACAATAAAAGAAAATATATTATGACTACTTTTAATTTTGATTAAAATGTCTGCTAATAGTTACATATTTCAAGTAAAGTGTTTGAATGCATGACTTAAACTGCAGTGTGGTATTAGTTATTAGAATACTTCTGACGCCACTTTTTTTCTTAACTTTTTCTCTCGTTTGAGTTTTTATGTGTTCATCCAAATTAATGAAGATATAAAAAAATGATGTTTTACAACACAACTTTTGCTGCATGACCTTAAATAACAATAGAGACACACAAGTTGTCCTACAATATTTTCAGTGCATTTTACATTTATCTCTAGACACTGTAACATTCCCAATGGAATTGAGGGTTTATCACTTCCCCTACTGTTTTTTTCTTTGGTGTTAAACTGACCTGTACAGCGTAGTTGCACAGAGAGGAGATGAGGATGTGACCCTGACGCTTCCTGAGGCGGTCCAACAGAGAACCCAGAGGGGCCAGCTCAGCCACCTGCACACAAGCACAGACATTATTTTTGGAAATAAAACACTGATTTGTGATTTGGGTGTCTACTTTAGCATTTTTGAGTCAGAGTGTGTGTTTTACCATCTTCATGGGCTGCGTAAGGACGATGCCGTACAGCCGGATGAGGTTCTGATGGCTCAGTGAATGCATGGCGTTCACCTCTCTGATGAAATCGTCCAGACCATCAGAGTCCAACACACTGGCCTTCAGACACTTCACTGCCACTGACAACTAGAAACACAGAGAGGGAGAGACAATGTCAGCCGAACAACAAAGAGAATAAACTGCTGTATTTCAAAATGTTGCCTTTGGGACAGTTTTGTGGAAAAAGCAGAGATGGCAAAAGTACCCCCACCTTTACTCAAGTAGAAGTACAGATACTTGTGTTTAAAAATACTCTGGTAAAAGTAGAAGTACTGACTAAACTTATTTGCTGAAGTAAAAGTAAAGAAGTATGGGCTTACTTACTTAATTAAAAAGTACCCATAACTACCAACTGTTTTATTAAAGACTAACTGACCTCCCTTTATATTAATAGAACAATAATGTCATTGTCAGCTAATGAATGTTTCGATGCTGAACAACGGCAACATGACAACGTTTTCATTGGTCGCTCTTCTTTAGAGAAGACCAGAAAATTATGGATACATGGATTGTGTTCAAATCTATAGGCACGCAATGACTCTAAAGAATAATGATCCCGCCACTAAATGCAGATTAAAACTAAAGTAACGAGCCAGTTTTGAAAATGTAATGTACAGGTATTTGTGTTCAAAATGTAGGAAGTAAAAGTAAAAAGTCGTCAGAAAAATAAGTTGTGGAGTAAAGTAATGATACCATAAGTACAATAATGAAGTATTTGTACTCCACTACTTCCCACCTCTCTGGGAAGAAGATAACCAGAATCAGCCAAGATGAGCTTAAATGTCATACATTTTGCACACACTACAACATGTTATGCTTTTCCTTCCTCCTGTTTTTTACACTCTTCTGTCTCACCACTCTGCCGTTGGGTCCAGTCCACTCTCCTCTCCGCACCACCCCAAACGTGCCGTCTCCCAGCCGCTCAAACAGCTGCAGCTCCGACTCTCTGATCAGGCAGGTGAGCGAGGCTGCTGGCTCACTATTGGATGAAGTCGAACTGGACGATGCCCCCTGAGGGAGGGGTTGCTGGGGGTCCGTGTCAGGTCGTTTAACAGGGAACACCTACAAGCACAGAAGAAGAAACCGATGAGGGGTTTAATTGTATGTATGTCTCATACAGAGAAAGATTTTTTATTTGATTTAATGATGCATCTACACCAATCCGAGGAATTACATATTCCAGTAAAAACCTACTTAAAATGTCAAAAAAGCAACAAATAGTCATTGTAGTCACTTCAGATGTACACAGTCATCCTGCAAACATGTGAGCATTATTTCAGCCTTGAAAATCAGTTATCTAATACAAGAAATCTATCTAAAATGTAGTAAAGTAACTAATATATTTGTCATTAAGCTGCAGCTAGTGTTCGGACATACGGGTTTAAGAGATAGACATTCCAAAGTCCAAGACTGTGTGTGTGCAATAATAGCTTTTAGTACATTTGTGAGAAACTTGCAACTTCTAGCAAAAATGTGTATGAGTATGGTTTTATGTGTGTGTTTGCAGGACAGTGGTACTGTACCTTGCTCATCCAGGACTTGCGTTTATAGAGAGCTCTTCTCCTCTTGACTGCCTCCCAAAGCCTCCGCTGACCTAAATTGACACAATCACAAAAAAAAGATTTCAGATTGAGATTGTTTTCCCTCTAAAGACTTCTATTGCGTCTGGGAACAGGTGATAATAGGAAGTACCGGGGCGTCCCATGCCGATCTTCTCCAGGTCTTCGTTCTTGACATAGTCGAAGTGGGAGATTCGTGTGACGTTGAGCTCATCACGGATCCGCAGGAAGTACTGCTGCAGCTGCACGTCTGTCAGCAGCTCCAGCAGCCACTCGGTCCCCTCCTCACTCTGCATCTGCACACACACATTTAAATATGCATTGACAGAAAGCCAGTGTTGAATACACATGGATTGTGTGCCTAAACATGTTCTTTTTTGACATTTAGAGGTGCTGGTGCTCTTCCCTGTTTCCAACCTTTATGCTAATCTTTCCCTTGAATTCTTATTTTGTTGTCAATTCCTTTGAGTCCAATTTTTTTCTGGATCCAAACATGATGTCATACAATATTTCTCATGGGAGGAATTTATCCGAAATAATGACATGTCCAATACATTATTTAAATTATTTAATGCTGTCAATGTGTCCCTACTTTCAAGGATCTAGAATGTCATGATTGTTAATGATATCAATACTAAAATCTAAAGCATAATCAAACTGTTATGGTCAATTTTAAAATGGCATTATTTGAATTTTAAGAGAGATGTGTACAGAGAAGGACATTTTACTAATAGTCATAGTTCTCTGATGGACAAACTATTTCATAAAGATCATTAAGAATACAATGACATATTTTACAATTCAGGAATACATATACAATGAAACTTGTGTCCACTAACATGATGCTGCAGTGCATGCTGGGATGTTTCCCTACAAAAACATCTCAATTGCCATCACATGATCAGCACTAACCCAATTAAACTAACCCTGATCCTGGTTTGAACTCTCTGCTCATTTAGCCTTTAACTCAAGATAACCTCCTTCAGGATTTAAAAGAACATAAAAAGAATGATGATGATGCGGATAAAACATGTTAGCCTGAACTGGTTTAGCAGCATTTGAGGAACAGGGCCCTGGCTGTGGACAGCTGAACTGAACGATTTATTTGAATTAAAATCAAAGTATAGTCCAGTTACAGCCCTACAATCACGATCAATACACACATGATCACAATCACACTTGAATTCTAACACACACCTCTTTATCTCACTGACGCACACTAGCACAGAAGGACATACTGTATTTACAGAGTGAAGAAGGATCATGGCATGTCCAACCAGAACTTTCGTATTTACCATTTGTCCCCCGACACTCTCTCTAATCCTCCCGGCACTCTCCTCTTCGTCCTCATCCTCCCCCTCCTCCTTTCCTCTGGTGTAAGGGAGTCGCTGGTACATATAGCTCTCCCCCATAGTGAAGCAGCTCCTCTCGTCCTTCGCCTTGTCTCCTTTTTTTTTGTCTAGCTGCTATTCAGAGGAGGCGTTAGCTCTGCTGCCGTGCTCTGAGTCTAGTTTTCTAATCTCCTCTCGGCTCCATGACCTTCTTTGGTAAATCGATACATGCACCCACACGTTCACAAACACACCGGGGGCATTTGACGCCACTGTCTCCAGTCGTATCCCCTAAAGCTATCTATAAACTCTGTATCTTCCCCCACACTGGGTTTTTCTCTCCCTGCTGACTCACGGCTTCCAGCGGCGTCGGACACCTCCATACTACCCTTTCTCTCGCCATCTTTTTTACTCTCTCTCTAGCTCTCCATCTCCTTCTGGTTCAGCAGCAGAGCCCACCATCTGGTGATAAATAATTCAGCAGCTCTAACAAGAGGATGAGAGAGAGGGAGAGATGTTGGAGGAAGGAGGGGAGAAAATGCAATAACAAATAGGTGCACAGATGGATGGGTGAATAGATGAGTGGCCATTAGCCAGGCCAAAGAGGAATAATAGGGTTCCCAGCATTATTTGATAGATGCAGACATGCAGATGGTATTGCAGCTATGCTTGACACCAATCCAAACAAGCATAATATTATGGAGTCAATTTAAAAAAGGGAAAATCAGCTTTGGAAGCGTTCAACTGATTTCACAACCATTTGTAATACTTTTTAATTACTCAAGTATTTTGTCATGTGATAGTGGTTCTGGTCTGTGGTTTTGGTCTGTTGGTTTGACAAAACATGTCCTGGTTTTTCTTCTGACCTTATTTCTAAATAAACAATTTAAACAATAGATTTAAACACAATTTTGTTCAACTGTATTTAGAAACCAAAGACTATATCTATTTCATGGTTGTCATTATTTGATGATTAAGCCATACTGAAAAGGAATCACTTTATTTTTTTTAAAAAGCAAGGGATATCAATGGCCGTCTGTTGTTTGGTCCATGTCTCGGGTCTAGACGAAGATATCTCAGCAACTATGGGATAGATGGCCATGGACCAGCTACAATCAATCAGCTAAAGCAATAAAACCAAGGTCAACATATTATTAATATAAAATAATGATATACACAGGTTCTTGCAATGATAAGCAAAATATTTGCATCCAGACGCCCTTTCACAGACAGACGATAGCAATAATGTATTTTTTGTCAATACATTTTGTAAAAGCTGATTTACTGCTGCTTAGAATGCGCTCTTGAAACGGACAAAAAGTCACACAAAAATGCAATCTGCCTGTTCTTGTGAGCCTCATTCTGAATATAATTAGTTGAACTGACTTGCTGTAACAAATTACATGAACATTCAAAAGGCGAGGCTGCCTCTATATTTCTTTTTATTCTTGTTTCATTTAGAAACAAGAATACAAATAAATATTGAGCTGTCATTAAAGCAACATTTGATGGCAAAGACAGTGTAACTGGCGCATATAAATAATAAATGCCTGTGTTTATGTATGTGTGCATCCGTGGCCTAAATGAGCCCAAAATCTGAGCATTCACTTTTATCGAGGCCAATGCTCTAAATATAGGAAAGCTAAATTTAGCTTACATCCACAGGCATGGAGTGTGGAGCACAACTGCTAATGTGTTGTAATTACAGCATCTATACCTGAGATTCAGTCAGGACTGTTATATACAGTAATGTGTTCCTGTATGATAAGGATGACAATTTATTGTGCATCCAGAATCGTGTTTTTCTTTATTCACTGTCCACTTGCTTTGATCACTGACATATAAATACCAGGAAGCATGTTTTATTATTATTGTATAAGGATGACCAGCTACTACAAATGTAAGTTCAAGCACTCTACCTTGTTCTGTTTAGAGACAGAGTTGTTCATGTTTAATATTTTTGGACTGTATCAAACCATAGGAATAAAATGAATACATCTTGAAAATGGCTGTATTTGACAAATAGAACAGTGTATGAATCGTGTCACATTTGAGAAGCAGGATTTAGATACAATTTAGGAATTTTTTTTGCTTGATAATTACTGAAAAGTGTAATAGATTTTCAAGACAGTGATTGATCCAAATTCAGTCAATTGTCTGACAGGTGCAAACACGCTACAACGGCCCAAAACATTTTCAATAGGAGAAACGTGCTGTGGCTTCAGAAACTATGCGATCGGTATAATCCCCAACTGTCACTCTCACAGAGTTTGTCTGTTCATAATCATAAGTGTTTTGTTAATATATTTGAAATTAATGTGGTTTGGGTTTTCTTCCAGCATTTGTATTAGCAGCATTTTTTCATTTGCAGCGATTTTTTTGTTGCAGCGTTTCGTTTATGCATCGCTTTTTGTAAAAGCTGCGCATGTTTCGTCAAGTTGGCGATGATGTTACTTCAATTGCATGTGTTTTGGCCCTTTTGTGTTTCCATAATTGCATAGTTCCTCTAGCTGCAGTGCGGCTTTCCTAATAAAAGTGTTTTGGGCCAATAAAGTGCATTTGCACCTGTCAGCCACCGTACAGATATATTGGTTGACTATTAGAGCCAAATTGGTTATTTGAAACTATCGATTAGACGGAATTTTAATCAACCACTTTGTTCGTAATCTATTGCACCTGTCAGCCACCATATGTGTCACTAAAAGAACAATATCATAGAAAATCAACACATTTAAAAAGAAAAAGACTGAGGGACATTTTGAGTACATTTATAAAGGCATTAGTGTAGCCAGTACAGAAAGACATTCTTCTGCAATCATCTCTTACAGTATGTGTATCTTACTGGTCCTACCCTGCAGAAGTCTGCTGCTGGATCAGGGTTTAAAGCTGCAGTCAGGAGGGATCACTGGAGGTCACCTGGAGGAGGCCATGGATGGAGAGACCCCGCATCTACATACACATAAAAAACAAGCAGTGAAATCAGAATGACAAGAGCTCACTCAAATTATAAATGAACTATAAGTAAACTGCTCTGAGAAATAGAGCTCAATCTGTCTGTATGCATGGAGTAATTCACAACCATGACACATTAAAATAAAAGCAGTCTCTATTCAGTGTCTTTAAAAAAATATCAGGCTCCAATGTTGTCCATAAAGACGATTTAATTACATTATTGAAATATTTCGAGTCTGTTTTCTTCCTCCTATAGATCTGTTAATCAGGTTAATAGCTACAAATGATAGCACTGAGACTGTTTATCTTGTCTAGGAATATGTTTGGGGTTATGGAAAAATTACTTATTTTCAAGGTTTTGAGATGCCATGTTGTTGAAGACATGGCATCGGAAGTGTTATCTGGTTGCACGTTACTGCACAGAGTATTATTTATTTTCACTAACTCAAACTGAAGATAGTTAAATACTTATAGGCTTTTTTTTTTTTTAAAGGATTAAACTGAGCCCTCAAATTCCATTTGAAAAAATATCTTTCAAAATGTTGGGATCTTTGTGTATTTCAAATCTAATTATTGAAATCCCTTAATGTTTGGTGTGTCATATCAAATCTTCTTGGGGCCATTTGACACCGGATTGACACCAGTATTGTAATGATTTGACTCCAGGTCAGTTCCGAGTAGAAACTGCATCTCACTGTGGAAAAATATATTAGACATTAAAAACAATAGAGTGAATACCAGTATCCAGCAATAAGCTAAGACCAGAGTTCAAATAGTGTGTCCACTGGGATGTTCATCATGGTAAAGAGCTATAATCTCCATTGAATAGATCAGAACGGATTTGTATTGATTCGGCTGCTGCTTTACATTGTCAGTGTCTACCCCCCAACGCTGATTAGCCTCAGTGACGTTCGATGTCCACCTTTATATGTGTCAGTAAACACCTCACTACTTTAGTTTCACTCCCAAACACAATAGCTTTATTTTATTTAGTCATTTATTGTGTTTTGTTTTAGTGCAACATGTCACGTTTTCCATGTAGCGATATCAAGCTGCCAGATAAAGACAACCCCAGCATACCAAATATATTGTATAGCTTATTTGCAGAATACCAACCTGGGAGGTGAAGACGGGTTTACGGGAGAACAGTCCGCCTTCCTGCGGTTAGTCCTCGCTCTGCCCGCCGCTCTTCAGCACCTGCTGGCCGGCGTGAAACCGCGCTGTTTATCGGGGAACCTTTTAAATTCAGCGGAACCGTTATCTCTGTCCTCCGTTTATTCCTAAACGCTCCTCGGTGCGCCTGTCCGAGTTCACGAGCGTCACTGTGCGTAACATCATCACGCGCAGATAGAGCGGCGGAAGTGGCTTCGAATTCACCACAATAATAGCACTTCCTATTCGGAGATTCAGGCTTCAAAATAAAAGCACGAGTACAACGCGATTATGAAAAGCCTCATCAGGGCCATAAACAGCAAAGGTGTCATATCATTAAATATTTATATATGTTTGTGTATGTGTAATGTTAATGTAGTCCAAATATAAATTAAATACTGTTCTATTAAATCTGAAAACCATGACAAATCTTGAAATAAGAGAAATTAAAATGAATACTTGCTCTTAAAAATATACATTTACCTACTAATGACAAGTCTTCAAAAAGATAGAAATAGCTTATAACAGATACAGTATGTTAAAGAATATAATATATATATAGAACAACGCTCCATTGGCTTCAGTTTACCACTTCTTGCCTTATTTTGCTCATCATAGCCCAAAATCTACCCTTTTTCCCCAAAAAGTATACGTGGCTGATTTGTGAAACAGCAATTAAATAGAAGTTTAATACTTGTTTAAAAAATCAAAACTATAATTGCTCTTGTTGAAAACATACAAAAATGTAAAAAGAAAATAGGATCAGACAAACATATTCTAGAAGCTAAGCCAAAAAGGTTTATTAGACTTTTCTGCTGAACATGGAGATCATGATGAGAACAATGAGTTATGAAACATACAGTTGGAGTTACACAATGACATTTCCCAACCTTTCAGTTGCCCCTATCCGAGTTCAGTAACGTTTGTTTTAATTATTGTAACATCTTGCAGGAAAGGAAAAAAAAGCTGCAACAATATCAAGCTCCCAAACAGAAGGGAGGTGTAATAATGACATGTAATAATCTAAAGTACCCAACACAGATGTTTTGTTTGCTCTCTAGAGCGTATTGAAATAAAGAAATTGGATATGAATTTAATTAAATTGGGTTGACTGACTGATGATATTCTTTTAACATGTGTATTCTAATAAATATCCCTTATTGCCATTTTAAAGGCCTTAAAATATTGTCAGAAAACAACAACTTTTATGGGAAGAAAATGGTCAAACAAAAAGACATCAAACCGCTTGGAAAAAAAAGATCTATTGGTAGAACTCAAATTCATTTAAAAAGTTTGTAATATAGAAATGATGTTGAACTACACCCGAATAAAGCAGTACAGTATCATGAAGAGGAAATATGCCATGCAAAGAGAGTTGCGGAGTGAATCACATGTAGGTGCATCTGTTGTACTTTTGAAGTCACTAGGTTTGTTGAAAACTGTAATCAATTAAGTGCATTTCAATAATGTTCTGTGTTTTATTAGATGTAAAACAAATCTGTAATCTAGCTAAATAAGAAACACCCACATAATCCAAAAATAATAACCAACAAATAAATATATATAAAGTATAAAACTCTGGGAAACACTGTCCCCGATAAGTTGTTCCACCCTCAAGTGAAATATGAGAGACACTGCTCTCGATAAATACACATTTAAAACACACACAAACATACAATCACACACACTGGTAGGCAAAAACTACCATCACTGCTTTACATCATGGAAGACACTGCTCCCGATAATGGGTTTTAATTATGGAAGACACTGCTTCCGATAACTTTATCATAATATAAACTGTTTCAAAGTAGACTGTGCAACATAAATGGATTTCTTGCAAATTAACTAATCATTACTCGCGTCTTAAAGAGCGTTGATAATGTTTTAGCTTTAAATTATTTGTTTAAACTTGAATTCATCCTGCCACCAAGTGCAGGATAAATCCAAATCATAATACATTTCTAGGCTTAGTGGTCTATAAATAAGAATTTCCCAATATCCAGAGACTTTTGGTTTTCACTCTGCAACTAATTTGACATATCAGGGACAATTCTTTATCACTCTTAATTTCTTCCTTTTAAATAACCATTTAATGGCATGCTGTCATTCTCTAAAACATTTTCTCAAAAAGGAAGATATAAAGGCCATTTGCAATAAAAGTCTATTTTCTTTTTTAACGGGATTCCATTTTGTCAGCAACAGTTGAGGAGTCATTTCTGTAGCAGATGCTGCCGGGTGCTTAGACAGTATAACCGTCATAATTATGGAAGACACTGCTTCCGATAACGTCGTATAAAAAGACAAAATAATCATTTTATAGTGGACACTGCCACTGATAAAAAACATAAGTATAAATAAGGTTTCTCAGTGTTTTGATGGCGAGAGGTCACAGCAGAGACTGCTTCAATTATTTGCCAGGAAAAGAGGACGCAGATTTGTCAGTAGCATTATTATCAAGTATTTCATTTTGTTTCACAGTAAAGAACTGTTTTGTACTCTTCCATTTCCTCCTGAATCTGTGGGGGATTACAACTCGGACCCTACCTGTTTTAGGGGTTGGGCTTAGACATCTGATTGACAGCTTGTGCTAAAGTGCTGTTGTTGGAGCTCTTTCTTTTGTTTCTACTTTAAACTGCATTTCTCACACGACAATCACGCTCACAACTTCCCAGACTTTCTTCTTTAGATTTCCTCATCGATGTCCCAGATGTTGCCCACCATGGCGTTGGCACATCCCTGCAGGTTCCAGGTGGCGAGGGCCAGCTGGATGCGGAAGTGCTCCATGTCGGTGGTCTCGGCGATGGAGGCCAAAGTGTGGGAGCCCCGACCCAGCAGGAGATGACGGAAGGGGGTTTCAATGGGGGACACGTAGGGAGAGAGGAGGGTGTGCTCAACCTGGAACGATAAACAAAGACTGTTATACATCTGTGAGGTGTTAAGATGTAGTAGTAAAACAAAGCTACATGTATACTGCGCTCAGGATAGTACATTAGCAAGAGCATTCACTCAAGGAACCATTCTTATAAGATAAGATTTACTTAATTGATCCCAATTGTTTTTTTTCATGTACTGTGTGTGTGTGTGTGTGTGTGTGTGTGTGTGTGTGTGTGTGTGTGTGTGTGTGTGTGTGTGTGATGCAATTGAACCTGTGATGATTTGATTATTATTTCTATCTTTTATTTTCCATTACCTTTTGAAAAAAAAAAAATGAAACGATGCAACATGTTGAAATAGGGCATGTATGCTAGTGGAACCATTACTCAATTAGTAAACATATATATAATAATAATAATAATAATAATATAATAACGTATATAATAACATTTTAGAATGTTTCAATTGTACAAACTAAACAGAATCTAAAATATTTACATAACATGGAGGATCACAAACTGATACGTTTTGAATTTGGCATAGTTTTGCACTTTTTAAATATTTCCTAACCCAACCCATGACGCAAATTGTACATTTTGCCAATTTGTTCACATGGAAATATATCAACGGGACAGTAGTGGCATCAACCAAAGGATCGAACTTGTTAATAACATTTTAAACAAGCATGTGACTACACTGCGTCTCACCGTCATGATCCTGTCGTTGAGGATCCGACAGGCCTCCTTGTCACTTATGTCAGTGTTGGCGATGTCATTTGTAATGCTGCTGGCAGCTCGTTGGAAGGATCCACGTGCACGGTTGAGCCATTTGGGATTCACTTCCTTCAGCTGACCAGTCTACAGAATAAAAAGGTATCAGCAATAACACTAAGAACAAACAAAAAGCTTTAGCTAGATGTCAAAAGACAGATGGAGAAACGGACCCTTGAGAGCTGGTTGATGCGTTTGTAGACCCGGACCACAGCCTTGGTGATCACGCTGCTGTACTGGCTCACATCCAGGCTGGGATACAGCACGTGGTCGTGAACCAGTCGCAGAGCCATCTGTCCCGCAAACTGTGCCGCCAGTGCCGCCATTTCACTGGTGTGATGGTTTGTCTTGTAATCGAGGTGGTCCTTGTTGTCCAGGTCGGTGCCATAGTAGCTGTAAGCCTCCTCCTTAACACACAATTTCAAAAACAATGTTCATGTTAAAACTAAAAAGCACAAAGGAAACAAGATGTAACAATCAGAATAAGTAGAGTAGAGTAATCAGTAAACTGCCAAAAAAAAAGTCATCACTTTGTAGCAAAGGATGTAGTGATCTTGGGCATTTTGAATTGATTTTACTTTCACTAGGAGAAGCTATAGGATGTTCTTTAAAAAAGAACCCATCGGTCTCGTTTATATACAAAAAGGACTGAATTACAATGCATACTGTGTTTCTGAACTTTGGATTAATGCAATGTCAATAACCTAATGTGAAAATAAATGTCTAACGTCATTTATTTTTCCATCTTTAGTCACTAGTGGATATAGGAGGTTTCGTACATCTAAACACTGCCATCATGTGGGTAAAAGTAAACATATCCACAGTAATTATCCAGGGATTGTGTTGCATTACTCACGTTGGGATTGATGAAGTGGAAAGAGATGGAGGGAATTCCAGACAAGGCCAGGAAGGGATAGGCAGGGTCGTCCATTGACATCGGCTTTAGTCTGCACATAGAATGTTATTGAAAGTTATTGAAACGAACCCATCTTTTACAACAAAAGGTTTCACAATCTGTTCTTTCAACAGCAACCACACTGTGGCAGAGCTGATATACAATGTTTGGTATTGGCAATTCAAATATATTTGCCAAGTTTAGACTGCATTTTACTTAAAGAGCAACTGCAGGTTAGAGACACCAGTGAACTACAGTGACATCTGGCGTCGTTTTTGAAAGACATTTTTACTTCCACATAAAAAAAAAGACCACCCGCGTGTGACGTCACATGGGGGAGAGCAGCCGGTCTAACGTATTAATAAACATGGATCACAATGCTAGTTTTGATACAGAAGAGGTTGAAAATGTATTATTCGTATGCATATGACGGAGCACAACCTTATAATTATGAGCCTGCTAGGCGTCCAAGAGACCAGGAGCAGCCAATGATTAGAAGAAACTAGGGCAACTGTCTTGGTGAGTGACCCGCGTTAGCTACAGTTAATGTTAGCTAACGTCGGTCACATCACAACATTGTAAAGTTATCATACATCAGGCTATAACTAAAGTAGTATTGATAATATAGTAACATTACTGGCAGGACTGTTGATACTGATCCATAAGAGAAACTAATGCGCAAGTATCAGACGTATCTCGCATTACCTAATGCAACTCCACACTACGTCTTACGGTGCTGTGTACCGGAGGGGAGCGATAGAGGAGCGAAGGGGGGGAGAGAGATGTAATACGGTTTCCTGATAAACGCTTTGCTTGATAAGCCTCAGCTGTGGAGAGTATTTGCTGCGTGGATGCACCTCGCACAACGCACCCAGGAACGAAAAGCTAGCTCCGGTCCTTTTCCTGTGAGGGAAACTGTGGACTCGATTTCCTGACAGGCTGGAGTTTGTGCAACCTGCAGAAACTCCAGCTCACCGTGATTACAAATGGTGAAATGCAATGTAAAATTACCGAAAAAATACCAGCTCACTAAATCACAACCGCTCAAACCAACTACAAACTACTATCGCGGATTGGGCAAAGAAGGAGTTTTTTGTAGCAGAGCTCAAAACGGCTCCTTTCCCCTCTGAATTCTTGCCCTTATGTCTCGTAAAACATATCAAATTCTGCATTAACTTTTTTTTTTTTTTTTTAAATTGTCATTTTCAGGCAAGGTTAAGCATAAATAAATAAATCTAGTAAAAATAAAAAACCTGCAAGTTGCTCTTTAAGCAAAACTCTTGTCTGGCTGCTTTTGTTCAGAGATAATTAACATGTTAGAATGTTGTCTTCAATTGTGAAGCATAAGGCATTTGTATTTGTACAGAGTCTTATCGACACCAATATTTTTTTTATAAAAACACCCAGATTGAGACTTCTGTGTGTTCAAATGTTCTGTTAATCATTGTATTTCTAAGTACTACAAAACTATCCTGAAACATGGTTTGCAATAGTTAGCTTTTGGATGACTCACTAAACAAAAACGTGGCTCTACATGCAGCTTCATTACTTACACGTTAGCTGTTCCCACCATATCGTACACAGTGCCAGCACCCATAGGACTGTTCACCTGCATCGACGAGGCAAATTAAAATGAATACAAAAACACAACTTGTTTGTACAGAACTGGATGAACATTGAGTGAGGTGTTGTTGTGCTGTTACCGCTTTCATCGTTTTCTCAAGGAGGCTGTAGAGCAGCGGACTTGCTGAGGCCATAAAGCTCCCACGACCTTGTGAGGAGATACACAAGGTCAACAGACTGGAAATCACTTAACAACTTTTTCAGTACAGAGATAGTACTGGAGAGGCTTTACTTACCCATGAGCAGTCCGTCCAGGCTGATGTAGGTGACAACATGTTTGTGAATAGAAGACATATAACCCTAAGAAACAAACATATTCAAACATATAAGAAATATGGGATAGATGTTTTTTTTTTGGATCTCAAGATAAAATAAATGTAGTTTCTACCTCCAACCACTCAGTGGCGCCAACACTTCCATACTCTCCAGCGCTCCAGCTAGCAAACACCAGGCTTCTCCTGGGCCTGAAGCCATCTGGGAAAAAACAAAACAGAGCTTTTAACTTATGTTAAGCAGAAGAAGGAACTGCAACAAAAATACACACTGTGACTGACATTAGTCTACAACATTGGCTACAGCCTAATTTATATAACTTCTTTAAGGCTAAAAATTGTACTTGCATATTAACGCATCGAGATTTTTGGGAGATAATTGTTACCTTTCTCCACCATCTCCCGAACAGCCTTGGCCAGCTCTATCAGTATGGAGGTCCCAACAGTGGCTTTGGCATAACCTTTACCCCAGGCGTCCCTCTGCGCTCCCAGTAAAACGTACTGATCTGCAGGTTCACATACAGACAACAAAGCATCTTAGATGTATGGTGGAGACAAAATAATCCAAGTGTAGATGGTCAGAGAGAAGATAAAAACGTACCAGGATCAATGAATCCTTTGATGATTCCGAACACGTTGTGGATTTCCTTGTTGACCAGCACGTTGTTCACCTCAACGGTAATGTTCTCGCTGCCTCCCAGTTTGTAACCCACTGAGGCGAGGCTGCCTTTAAAACTGTTGCTCGCATCTGACTCAGGACCTCCGATTGTCCTAGAGAAGAGATAGAGAGGCGGATGAGGAAGTGCTGTACACTGAACTGTGCCAGATTTGACTGCAGTGTCTTCTTTAGTTAAACTTTCTTGTTGCAACATAATAATAAAATAAAATCAACCTATTACGGCTGCTAACTGTAGCTGCCGTCAACTAATTAGCTATTAGATCAGTTAGCCATGATGCCAGGATTGGGAGTTTGGAGCACTGTGGGTGTTTATACCACAAGCACCGGAGCGGAGGACTTTTTTGTTGCCCTCGGCGGGGGGATAATGCTGGGGGGGGGGGGGTCAGCGCCAGTGTTGTGCCAGAAATGGAGCGTGGCAAGCGTACGCCAGAATCTAGTCGTGTCTTGTGTAGATGCACTTTCTTGATGTTTGGTCGTGTTGTGTCAAAATATTTTAATCACATGTTATGTATTCATAAAAAATGCACGATTGACACTATAGCTGTAAATATTTATGACAGCAGTGTATAAGTGAATTGAACTTACAACCGCAAAAAAAACAGATAAATTCAAATTAAGACAAAAAAAAACATCAATAGTAGGCTTTACCTTAAAACACAAGGATGTACTGTAGGTATACTCAGGCACGGTAAGAATATATGTGAATCCTAATGTCAGACACAGTCATGCATGTCCATCATATTCTAAAGAATAACTAAGTTAACAAATTGCTCAATTGTCCAAAGAACCATACTCGAGCACCATGAATTTATTTATAGTGCTTAACAGATGTGGTGTTTTACTGTACAGCATTTCCTGAGCTTAACCGGAAGATATGTAGAAGGTTGTTCCCCTTTGTGGGTTTGTGTGTGTGTCCTCACTTTAGAAGAGTTGAAGCCATGTTGGGCGTGATAGTCTGGGCTGGGATTTTGGGGAGTCCGGACGACTTCGTGGGAGCTAACTGAGTATGGTTGAAGGAGGGGAATCCAGGGGTGTAGGGGTCACCTGAACCCAGGTGGACCTGTGTAGGGACAAACACAAAGTCAAAACACAACATGAAGTGGTTTTAAAGAGAGACTTCACTGGCATCTTGTTTTTTTGGCTTTTAACAGCATCCTACGTTGCTATTATGTGCAAACGTACATGTCCGTAGAGAGCTGTGTCCAAATTATAACTGTAATCTTGAGGATCAGGATAGATCAGCACAGCAGAGGCCCCCTTCTTCGCACCATTATCCACCTGAAGAAACAATCAGAATCATAAAAACAAGTTTTAATTAAAGTTCCCAAATGCAAAAGAAAGAAATGATATGAGGCCTGTGAAGGTATCAAGTGTGTCGTCACCTGCTCTGCAAAACTGATATTTCCAGCGCGGAGCAGCAACACACTGTCTTTCAGTTCAACGTTCTTCTTCTGCAGAACTTCCAGATCCTCCTGACGACCGTAGTTGCCATACACCAGCTTGCCCTGAAAACACAAGTAAAAGTCAGATCGGCCGCACCATTTATAAGCTGGAAACTAAAACCCCAGATTTTATTCCATTTTAGATTTTAAATGGTAGTAAATGTTAACAAAAAAAAGGAAATGTTAATGTTTTGAACAACTTACCTCAGCTATCCCAGGAGCACTGTATGCCAGATATCCTGTAGGCTTGAAGTCAACTAAACCATAAATGACATGGTTTGGACGCTTGCTGTAGATTAGAGGATACAAGTTTTGTTAAAATATATGTAATATTTAGTTTGTCTTAGAAATCAAGAGTTTTCTTTTCTACTAACAAACTAAAAAGTACTACATTCTTCTGCCTAATTGTCAAAATAAATGGTGGCTCATGTGCCTGTTTTGGAGTTTTTTCAAGAAAGTAAAACCTTAAATTGATTAAGCTGCTTAAGACAGATATGGCAACCGGTTTTGCGGCATAAATAACAAAATAATATCTGATAAGAAAAAAAATCTGGAATTTCAATATTGTGAGAAACAGGGAGAAGGAGAAAATAAGCAATACTTGAAAGAAAAGAAAACTTGAATGAAAATTTCACAATATAGATTTTTGATAATCTCAGCCTTAAAATGTTTTGGTTAAAACATCATCTTAACACCAATTTCTTACATTTTAAAATAAATATCCCTAAATAAAATTGGCCCAATCAGTAAATGTATGATAGTAAAGGACCAACCTGTCTGGGGTCTGCAGCTGAACATAGTGGATGCCAATCCAGGGATCCATCTCCTCTTTCTTGAAAACATTAAAGATGCCGTTTGCCAGACTCTTGTCTCCATCACTTCCTGCTGAACGTCTGGGCCGATCAAAGTCACTGCAGAGAAACAAAATCTAATTTCCCGACAAATTTGGTGCACCTCATTTTTCAACAATGAGCCTTTCATGAATGGTTCTAACAATTCTGAGAAAAAAAGCCCACGAGATGACTCATTAAAAAAAAACACTGCACTTCTTTAGATGTCAACTTTTGTTGTACATTACCAGAGACACTCTTTCAAGTGAAATGTATTTTAAATCTTTTTTCCATTAACTTTTATTTATGGTGGCACTAGTGTTGCACGGTGTACCGATACTTGAAAGGTACCGCGATACCCTGCCGTTAAAAACGGTACGATTCCTCCGTTTCATTAGTATCGGTACTTTAAGAATGACGGGGAAAAGTACTCCGGTGAGAAAGCGCCGTTTTAATAAGAGCCGTGTTCAGCGCTCTGCTTCCACTCCCTGCGTGCACTGCAGCCGTGCCTGCAGTCCCGCCCCTCTCAAGCACGTTCTAAGTCCCTCCCCTCTCTCGTGCACGCGGCCACGCGCTAGCTGCCAGAGCATGTGAGAAAACGAGAAGCATGGCTGCAAGTGGGAGTGCAACTGCCGCTGCGCCTCGGCTTGTTGACAAAAAAGACGGCAGAAGCGAAATTTGGAAGTATTTGAGCGATATCTCTGACAGTGAGGGCAAGCCTACGGACACCACGAGGCCTGTCTGTGAGACATGTTTTAGATCCCTGCAAACCAAGGGAAACAACACATCAGACTTGACTAAGCACCCGCCGACCGGAATCCAGAGCTGTTTAAAGAATTTAAAGACAGACAGGTTAGCGAATGTGATAGATAACATAATTACATCATGCTCAAGCCCATGCCCTCAAATCTAAGTCAAACAAGTGTAATTTATTTTGTGACAAACGAAAGTTTTCGTAGTTTGACGAGGCAATTAATGGCAATGATAACTGTCTAATATGGCTATCTTTTTAGCTAACTTACCAATGTGGCTAACATCTGCAATATACATTTTGTCAATAATTATTTATATTACTGTACATGTTAATAAAATATAAAAAAAATTATATTTTAGAAAACAAAAAAGTTTTTTGAGATGATGCTTAATTTTATTTAATACGAATTATTGTCATTTATTTTGTTTATTGTTCTCATTGTTTAAAAGTTTGTGTTATGGTTATGGTTCTGGTGTGAAATAAAGCACAATAATTACATTTAAGACTGTTTCCCTTTTTTTAAGAAAAGTATCGAAAAAGAATCGGAATCGCAATTCTTGACTTGGTATCGGTATCGAAACCAAAATGTTGGTATCGTGACAACACTAGGTGGCACACATAAAAAGTTAAGTTAAGATAAATGTCATAGAAACACAAATGCCCAGAGATAAATGTAGGCGATCCTGTTCTCTGCTGTGCTATTAACGTTGACTTCAATGCTTTACTTTGTCATAATATATTTTGGTGAACTGCATTTATTTTCATGGTTGCATTGGATTTTATTCTTTTTTTAATATGTGTACAAATCTTTAACCAACTTTCGTACGTGGTGATCTTATTTAATACGTTCCCATTATGCCTTAGGCTTGCTGCACGTTGTCAGATGATATAAATCATAAATTGTCTCCAAGCTTGAGAAATATATTTAATTTCCTTGACCATAACTCTGGAGCTTAAGTCATGTGGCTTTGTTTTTTAAGTCTGGTATTTTATGAATGTGTTTGGATGAATATGGTTTGAGGGACAGTGGTAGGAAAAAGTAGAGCCCTTAGTTAAAGTATATATATATATATATATATATATATATATATATATATATATATATATATATATATATATATATATATATATATATATATATTAGGGCCGGGACTCGATTAAAAAAATTAATCTAATTAATTAGAGGCTTTGTAATTAATTAATCGAAATTAATCGCATTTTTAATCACATATAAATATTTGACCTGAGAACAGTGAGAAGCAATTTTTTTCACATGGATTTTAGTATACCATTAGGCGCATTCACACCGCAGTACTTTTCCCACAAAGGTCTATGAGAACTTAGTTCATGAGAACTCTTTGAACCTGGGGGTGGATTAGGCAAATGAAGCCGCTGACGTCACTTCTTCTTCTTCTGCTTTGGGTTTACTAGCAGGCCGCAAACCACTTCACGGCGTATATTGCCGCCCAACGTCCCCGGCCGGAAGTCCCCGGAGTTGGGGACTGGCTTCAGTAGAAGCTGCTGGGAGTCCCAGCAGCTTCTGAGGCTAACGTCCACGCTAGCTGCTATATGTTTTGCATTGAGGTGATACTTGAGGCTTGATGTGCTGCGGTGATATGCAAATTCCTTTTTGCATAATTTGCACACAACCGTGCTCTTATCGACGCTTCCATCCGTCCGTTTTTTAAAACAACATTTCCCACTGTTGTTCACTGTGGTTTGTTGTTGTCTGAAGTCATGAACGTTAGTTGGTGCTCCAGTATAATCGGTACGCCTGAAACTCATCCAGTGAGAAACGTTCCGCGGTGCAAAAATAAGCGCGATTAAAATGCGTTAATTTTTTTAACGCGTTAATTTTTGTGTAATTAATTAATCTTAATTAACGCGTTAAAGTCCCGGCCCTAATATATATATATATATATATATATATCACAATATAGCATGTTTACAGTAATTCTATAAATATATAGAAACATAAAAAAGTAGTTTCGTATTTTAAATCATTTGAAAGATAGAGGTTTTTTTATATAGGTGATATATGCAATAAACATTTTTACATTGTTTTCACTATATATTTTTGATATTGCCCAATACTAATTACCACTAATAACAGGATAGCTTTGGAGGCACCATTTTTTTTATAACTTATTGCATTAGCAGGTTTGTTTGGTTGTTGGGTGTTCTCTTTTGTCTTTAATTTCAGTATGATGATATTCAATTGTGTTTTAAAAAGTTATGCACATGAACCAGGCACCTCAAAGATTTGTCAAAAGCCTGGCTGGTGAGTTTCTGCGTGAGGAGTTCGGTAACTTGTTTCCAGTTCATCTGAGCGTCTGGAACAGCTGCTGCAGCTGATTCTGCTTCTGCTTCTTCTTCTGCTGCTGCTTCTTTCTGAATTTCCATTTCAGGATTTGTGGCACAGTTTTCCTGCTGCAGCTGAGTGTCACGGTGGCTGAGGTAACCCAGCAGGTAGCCTGAAGGATGAAAGTATAGAGGCATGAGAACTGGATTATTAAAAAAGTATTAAAGTTTAGGAGCAGCTTTCTAACCCTACAGCTGAACAGAATAGGACTATGACAAAAGTACCACGGCACCCTAGTTTTCAGAGATGTGCAATAATACATTTGTATTCAAAATTAAGCAAAACAATAAATAAACTCTGGCCAAAGTGCTGACAATGCTGCTAGGTTCTTTTTCCCATAAACAACTTAGTGGTTAATGCTTGAGCTGTGAGCTTTTTTCTTACTAATGTCCTTTACTGCATCGATGTTGTAAGGTGATACTGATACAGAGATATGTAAATAATCAAATAAAATAATAAACCATTTGACTCTAAAATGACAGTTAAATATTGTACAACTCTGTTGAGTGCACAAAAATGTAACTTCATTAGTGTTATTATTAGCTTACGTACAATGGATTTCAGTTGCTGCTTTTGAATTGTCTCTTTTTTTGCGGTAATTCTTCCAAAGTTTCTGCTTGATCAAAATCTTGAAAGTTTTAAAGCAAAAAATGCCATTTATTCACTGGTATAAGCTTCTAAAATGGGAAGATGTTTCTTTACATTTAAACATCTTAAGTTTTATCCTAAATATTAGATTAAGATGTATTTGATTTAATAAATTGCATTATTTAGAAAATAGATGAAGAAAAGGCGTAATAGTAACATGGGAAGATAATAATGAGCATGGCCTACCAATGGAAAATATCAGCAGTATCCCCAGGGCCAGGTAGCAGATAGTCGCCCGGCTTTGACGTGGGAGTGCTGGCCTGAAGCTCGGTGACCCCCCCGCCTGGTCCTCTGCCTCTGTGGCATCATCCGACAGTTTGACCTCGACGTGTCTTTCTCCGTCCTCCGAGGGCTGCAGAGTAAACCTGCTGTACCGCTCACTTTTAATCTAGAGCGAGGAAAAACAAGGGAACACAAGAGGGGAAACTATGAAAGCAATGTGTTCCTGATCCAACAGCTGTCTGGTAACAAAGTTTGTCCCATTATTAAAGAGGGTAAAGCTAAACTTGAATTATAAAATAAGAAATACTCACCATTCTGTTGAACGCAGACCTCACTCGCTCCATTTCTGCTGATTTTCCTAGAGAAAGCAGGGGACAGAGAAGATGAGTTTGTGACGGTTTATTAACAACTTAAATGCAAAGACAAGAAGACGAAAGGAAACAGAGCGAGAGAGTGAGAGCGGTTGAGGGTGAGGGCGGGGAGAGGATGTGAGGCGGGTCAGGTTGCCTCAGACGACCTTGAATGGATGTTGTAGGTCTTTAGGGCAAAGATTGTTTTCCCTGTACACAGACTGTTTTTCACTGTAATCTACAGAGTTAAGGACATTATTCTGTATACAGTATGTTTTTTGCTTGTTATTTATTTTCTATTTCTAACTATATAATGTGTTTTAAGTTGCTTTGCTGGAAATCAACATGAATTAAGGCCCTGATTGATTGTTCTCTACATTCTATCGATCAAACTTACTTTTAAAATAGTCTCAATGAACCAAGTGCATGTGACCTTCATGTATTGTTTCCACATCACAACAGCAATCTTTGTTTCCATTATAAAAATGTCAGATGCAGACTTCAGGGAGGTGTCAAACAGCTTAAAAATAAGTGTCTGTTCCAACTGACAACCACGCCCCCTCCCTCCTGTTGTTTAAGGTAAGACTTCTTCCGTATAAATGGGGACTTGTACAACCTGTACCAAGCTTACCGTATCTAACCTACTTCCTCATATTGACGAAGCAGGAAATAGCTACAGGTTCAAAAAATAAAGAGTAAGTATTTAAAGTATCGTGATATCATGCAATTATTTACTGTTCTTAAAAGACAATAAAAGGAATCCTCAATAAAATCAAGACTCAATTAAGCTCTATTACATATATTTTTGGTCATTATGTTCATTTCACCATAATAAATCATGGTGATAAAGAGATAACTGCAAACCTACTAGCTCATTTGCTTTTGAGCATCAACTACTCATTCATACATTTCATTAAAATAAACAGTGGCGCGAGGAAAATGGACAGCAAATATAATACAAGTAATGTATTTAGCTAAATGCTGACAATGACTCCACATTTTGACATTAGACACTTCTTGTCTTAACTTCTCCTCACATATATGTTGTTGAATGGTGAATTAGGTGTTAAATGCAAATGTGGAAGAAATACACTTCCACACAACACTTGCAAACCAGAATATAAAACAAAACAGTTATGTGGATCCATACAGGAAGCATAGAGGACAAGTGACATGTGTAGCATCATCTCGGTGTAAGCTAGTTAGCCGCATGTGTTGTGTCCTCCATCGCTTTTCGGTTAAGGGGAAGACTCGCTTGAAAGGAATTGTTGCTCAAAATGTAGTTGAATTTAAAATGTATGAAGGAATACAATTGTAGTCGGTGCAATCTTACCTTTTTGCCGCTAAGAAACCGCGCGCCCAAGGTGAGCTGCTCTATCGTGTCCTTATGGTCCTTCTTAGAGCACTTCCGCTTTACGTCACCTAGGGAAGCAGTCACGTACACATCCTTAAAGGTAAACTACAAACCAGACATGGCTGTAGAAATGAACGTGAACTCATACCTCATACACTGTATTTATAACTGAGGTAACTGATATTATGACACGTTAAACTCTACCCTACAAGATTCAGGGGGAAATGGTATGTTGGTACTTGATCAGTTAATACAATATAATCAATCAATCAATGTTTATTTATATAGCCCAATATCACAAATGTTACATTTGTCTCAGTGGACTTTACAGTTTGTACAAAATATCAGTATGACAATACGACACCCTCTGTCCTTAGACCCTCACATCGTACAAGGAAAAACTTCCGGAGAAAACCCACAGTTTAAAGGGAAAAATGGGAGAAACCTCAGGGAGAGCAACAGAGGAGGATATCCCTCTCCCAGGACGGACAGACGTGCAATAGATGCCGTGTGTAAATTGAAAAGATAATACATTTGCAACATAGGTAGTCCAAATGTTTGGAAATGCATGTGTGTATAATAGGAAGATGAATCCACGAGGATATCCATCCAGGGCCTATGATCCAGGACCACAGCCACGACTCAAGATCCAGGGCTCGCGATCCAGGACAGAGGAGCGCAGAATCATCCATGACTCCGGATCCCGGCGTATATAGACACCAAAAAGAAAGACATTTGGGGAAGCTGGGTTAATCGGAACATGAGAGTACACAGGTATAGACAGAGAGAAGGAAGAAGTAAGATGTCCCCCGACAAACTAAGCCTATATCAGCAAAACTAGGGGCTGGATCTAATCAGCCCTAACTATAAGCTTTATCAAAAAGGAAGGTCTTAAGCGCACTCTTAAAAACGGATAGGGTGTCTGCCGCCCGAACACAAACTGGAAGCTGATTCCACAAATGTGGAGCTTGATAAGAAAAGGCTCTGGCTCCCATTGTACTTTTAGAGACTCTAGGAACAACCAACAACCCTGCATTCTTGGAACGCAATGCCCTAGTAGGACAGTAGGGTATAATGAGTTCTTTAAGGTAAGATGGCGCCTGCCCATTAAGGGCTTTGTAGGCGAGAAGAAGAATTTTAAATTCTATCCTGTGTTCTATAGGGAGCCAGTGTAAGGCAGCCAGAACAGGAGTAATGTGGTCCCTTTTCCTAACTCTGGTTAGTACACGAGCCGCAGCATTTTGAATCAGCTGAAGCGACTTGACTGACTTCTTGGTACACCCTGATAATAAAGAGTTACAATAATCCAGCCTTGAAGTAACAAATGCATGGACTAGTTTCTCTGCATCGTTTTGAGGCAAGATATGCCTGATTTTTGCAATGTTACGTAGATGGAAGTAGGCGGTCCTTGAAATTGATTTTATGTGGGCGTTAAAGGATAAATCCTGATCAAATATAACACCAAGATTCCTTACAGTCTCACTGGAGGCCAAATTAATGCCATCCATAGTTAGTATATCCTTAGATAATTTGTTTCGTAGATTCTTCGGGCCAAGTACAATAACTTCAGTTTTGGTCGTGTTTAACATCAAAAAGTTTAAGGTCATCCACGTTTTTAAGTCCTTAAGGCAGTCTTGAATTTTATTTAGATGATTAATTTCATCAGGCTTGATTGATAAATATAGTTGAGTATCATCCGCATAACAATGAAAGTTTACAGAATGATTCCTTATAATATTGCCTAACGGAAGCATATATAATGTGAACAAAATAGGTCCGAGCACTGAGCCCTGTGGCACTCCATGGCTAACTTTGGTTTGCGTGGAAGATTCATCATTGACACGTACAAACTGAGAGCGTTCAGATAGATAGGACCTAAACCAGTCTAAAGCAGTTCCCTGTATGCCAACTAAGTGCTCTAGTCTTTGCAATAAGATATCATGGTCGATAGTATCAAATGCAGCACTGAGATCGAGCAAAACAAGAATAGAGACACGTCCCTTGTCAGAGGCTATTAGAATGTCATTTGTGACTTTAACCAGAGCTGTCTCTGTGCTATGATGTGTATGATGTGTTCTAAAGCCAGCCAGCCATAATATGTTCATCACTGCACAAACCTGCTTGGTTCTTGGACTCTCATGTTGTTTAAATATGTATATATTTATCTAAACAGTGGTGTTATATAACAAAGGACATATGTACAAACTACTTTATACTTTAATCTCACTACATTTTGTCTGCAAATGTTGTACTTTTTACTCCAATACATGTATTTTACACACTTAGTTCCTTTGCAGATTTAGGTTATTAAATACAAAATATAAATTGACACACATTATATTATAACATTATAGGTTAAGCTACCCAGTAGTATACATTAATTCAAATTAACCCCACATTTACTATTTACAATTTAAGTTAAACAGTGATGTGACACATTAATGCACCAATAATCTTTATAAAATAGGTTTAAAATGTCTAGTGCTTTAAAGGTCATCTTGCATAACGCATACTTTTACTTGTGGTAGGCTACTCAAGGTATTTTTTAAATGCAAATACTTTTACTTCAGTACAATTTGGAATACAGGAAGTAAATAATCTGAGTACTTATTTCACCTCTGTGTATATATATATTCTATTGATAGATATTTTGAAAGCAACTATTTGCTTCTTTTTTTATAGTGTGGGATTCCTGATTTTGCTCAGGTAAAGGCTCTGCGCTCATGCATTTGCTCCTTTTATGACTGCCTTGACAATTTTATGATACAAATAAAAACACACATTAAACATTCATTCATTTAATTTTCAATGACTAACAAAATAAAAAGGGTAATTTTATTTATTTTTTTTTTTTTTTTCTTTACAAATTGCCATTTTAATCATCTCTAACAAAACGTTTTAACCTTGACTCTGCTGACTGTTATTCTGAGCTACTTAGTGGGTGGAGTGTTGGTACACAATGTTAAATCCTCTTTGGCTTTCTATCCAACATGTTACATCACTCCTTTTTGACAAACAAGCAAGACAACAGACTGTTGACATTAATAATAATACATTTGATTTATATAGCACACTTTAAAGACAACGTTATCTCAAGGTGCTTCACAAAGCTATAAGGAAAAATAAGTAAAAATAAGTAAAAATATCACTCTTAGAAGGGATGTGTCAAAAATGACACAATATGTGTTGAATTTCAACACACCTACAGAGTGTGCTCAGGGACAACACGTGTTGTGTTGATTTTTGTGTAAATCATTTTACACACAAAATGTGTTACATGCCCCTAACACACAATGTGCACATTTTACACATTGTGTGTCATAAATATATAACCAAGATGAACGCACTCATTTCCTATTTCTGCACATTTTGTGTTCTATTTCTTTAACCAGAATTAACATTTGATTGTGTTATATCTGCACATTGTGTGTCAATGACGATTACTGGAAGTACCAGGTGGTGGATATGGTTTTTATTCAAAAATCAAATGCAAGAATACATTAATTGGACATTTATTTACAAGGATTTCATTAGCACAATAGCTCATTAAGAAAATAATTTTTAACATTTAAAAACATTAATATTTTTCGAATTCATCAAATGTTGACAGAACAGATAATTCATAAAATCACACCTAAAAAAACCTTGGTTAAAACAAACTTAATCTGCATGAACATAATCGTCAAATGTTTAATATCACTGTCACTACAAGCAGATATGTTATATATTAATATTAAATATACAGTACTTAAGAGTTTTTATTATGAAAATGCCAAAACATTTGAAGTCTTTGACATTGCGATGTGTTTCCATCCAGCTGTTATCATACAAATATTTAATTTGCACAATATTTCATTAAGAAAGTCATTTAAACATGAGAATGTTGTAATTCCTCTAATGTTCTCTCGAGAATAAACAGATCAGTTTATAAAAGCCCACCTAAAAAATCTTATACCTCGGATTCAGATAAAGCTTGTCAGTGCTAAAATCCGAAAGTAGATCAAGAGGTGTAACATCAGCAACATCGCCTAATGTTATAATTTCAGTCTTCAGTTTCTCGCATAACGTATGCAAAGAAATGATCATCAAAGTATTGAACTTGCAGTATTCTAATGAGAGAGTGAAATGCCTCACAGTGGGGTATAAGTTGATATTAATAATACATTTTATTTCTATAGCGCTTTTCTTGAACCCATAGACGCTTTACATTTGGGAGGGAGGTTAGACAAACAAAACAAAAACAAAAAGAAACAAAAAAACAAAACAAAACAGAAAAGCAGTCAGGAGGAAGTTGGTTGAGAGGGGGGGGGGGGCTTATGGATACAGAGTTGAAGAGGTGGGTTTTGAGGCGGGACTGGAACAGGGTGAGGGACTCAGACTCACGGAGGTCTTGGGGGAGGGAGTTCCAGAGCTTCGGGGCTGCCACAGAGAAGGCTCTACCCCCGAAGCTCCAGAGTTTGGCCTTGGGGATGGAAAGCAAACCGGCTGAGGTGGATCTGAGGGACCGGGGTGGTTGATAGAGGATGAGGAGGTCAGTGAGGTAGGGGGGGGGGCCAGATGGTGGAGGGCTTTGAAAGTGAGGACCAGGAGTTTGTAGTGGATGCGGTGTGAAACGGGGAGCCAGTGGAGTTCTTTGAGGACCGGGGTGATGTGATGCCATGATTTGGTGTGGGTGAGGAGTCTGGCGGCTGCGTTCTGGACACGCTGGAGTCTATTGAGGGATGTAGCGCTGATGCCCGTAGAGGAGTGAGTTGAATAATTTCCCCAAATAAGTGCTCCCCTTGATGCTGTGTTTTAAGGGGCAGCACAGATCCAGTCCTGTATGTCCGGCCCTTTATCGTCAGCGAATGTGTGACATAAATGATGCTATTCATCGTGACATTTCCATCTAGGGCTGATTTCAGTCCTTCCAGTATAATATCAGCTTTTTTCAGAGAACCAATATTCACAGGGCAGGCATTGTCGACGTTGCACTTATTACTGAACGGGTCACCAAGCTGGAAATGATACATCTGTTGAACCTGATGTTTCTGAGCTAGAGGTTTTGCAATATTTTCCTGAGGACAGGGTTGTGTCTTGCGTCTCTGATGTGTACAATATCATCACAGGACACACCCAGAGACGGAGGGTCCCCGTGAGGCTCCATGTTGAGATTGACCCGCACCTAGAAGGAGTCGACGCCTTTAAAAGAAGGTGAGGAGAGCTGGGAGCACAGCTCGGAGTATCCTGATGACAGGGACCAAACGGAGATGGATTAGTCTCACAGAACATAAGACTGAGGTTTCAAGAATACAGAAGAATACGGACTCACCCTCTGTGTTGATCGGGTGTTTGAGAGACGAAGGGTCGGCCCACCACTGCAGAGAGAAGTGTGCGACCTCAGTGGTGCACTGACCCAGCGAGACACTGCTCCAGCCCCCCCCCAAACAAAACCCGCTCCAGCTGGACGACAAGAGAGAAAACATGTTATGTTTCAGCCTTACTTTCTTATGTTTAGGTGATTTTATTTCATGTCGTTTACATTTTGTGATCAATAAACTTAAAAAACATCTCTCCGCTGTTGTCAGTGAGTATTTTACAAAGACTGAAACAGCGCCCCTCTTAATTAATCTGTGGTGAAACACAGTATTGCACGCTACACTCACTACACCCGGCTATGACTACACCCACAGTGCGCTGTGTCAGGGACATGTCAAGGAAAGCCCGCCGTCCAGAGCCCGAGAGAGATAAGAGTTACGACACTCTTTGATGTCGCCGCCAGCCGGTCACGTGGTTTATGTATGCCGGGATAGTTTCAAACGCACTTCCGTGTCAATGCTTCTCTATGGCAAAAACAGCACAAACATGGTCAAAATAGTCATGGATTAAACCAACGCTGTTATTTTTTAAAGATTGCTTTCATATTTACATGATGTGGTTACACTTTGTATGGATTGGCGCTATTTACAAGTTTCGTTATTTAACGATATGTTGAGGGGAAAGTGTGGTAGCACAAGCAGGCTATGTTGATGTCACGTCCGTAGTATTTTTGCGCTGCGCTGTCATGTTCTTCTATGGGACAGACAGACAGCAGCGATTGCGTTATTGAATGGTAAATATATATAAAAAAAACACACACACCCAAGTACTTTTTCAGCTGTAATTGCATACTTTTTATTGACAGTTTTGCATTTGGAGCGGCAGGGTGACAACGGAAAGCTTGGTAGCCTATTACTTAGATACGTTTTACATTTTTGGAGGGAAACGCTTGTGTTCATGATCATGTTAAGACTATGAATATCATTTTACCACAACAGTGGATGAACAATTGATATATGTGTTTGAACAAGAACAACAGGAATAACAAAGTAAAAGGGACGAACAAATGTGTGAACAAGTATTAAGAACAGTGTATGGAAAAAATGATGTGTGTTAGAACAAAACAAAGTAAAATGAATGAGAAGGAGAACAAAGAGGGTTAGGGTTAAACAGAAAAATATTAATTCAGCCAAAAAACACAATCTGATTAATCTAAAGTGTTAAACAATCTTCAACACAGACCAAATTAGTGCCCTTGGACAACAAAACATATGGTGGGGCAAATAAACGATAAATTAAATTGAGACAGAGTGGGAGACTGAAAATGATTACTATGATAAATATTCAAACTATTTACAAAACTATTTACAGAAGCTCCTGTTGAACCATGGTTCAACAGAGCAACAAAAACAGGTTTGTCAATGACGAGGCCACTTTACCAGCGGGAGGTGATCCAGCGACGAGACAATAAAAAAAAAAGAGAAACTGAAAAAAGCAATTCATATTAGGTTCTGTTGAGGCACTACAGGATATAAAACCTTCCAAGCCATGACCTCTGCCTGAAATCAGGACCACTCAGAGGAAAATGCAGCACATCAAACTGGAGTCAAGAGTGTGAATAACACATTTTGGCCAAAACAAATTGTTGCTTACCAATACAGTGGCTGAACAATGGACACCAAAAAGTGAAAAACAGAAGCATAATTGTGCAAACAACAATTGTGGGGGGGGGGGGGGGGGGGGGCATTTTACAAATATTTACAAACAATCAACTATTTATAAAAAAGCAATACTATTTACAAAAAAGGGTTAGGGTAAGCAACTATTTACAAAAAAGCAATACAGAACTCGAGGGCACCAGGAGCCTAACAATTTTGAAAAAAACAAAAAGGTTCCTTTGTGAAAGGGACATCCTCTTTATCTGTTTCCTGGGCCCTAAAAAGCAGAGCAAGAATAGGAACAGTGGTGAATAAGGGGAGAGAATACAGTTGGGAGCAGACTGAACAGAGGACATAGCAATATTCATGTTAAAATGTTTGCACAACAAATATTATGGCACTTTCGTTTATATTGCATTTTAAGAGATCAGTTGTCATACCATGGTTGGATGTGCAGCATTTGGATGCTCTAATCCAGTGGTTCTCAACCTTTTTACACCAAGTACCACCTGAGAAAATAGTTGGCTCTCCAAGTACCACCATATGACCAATGTTAAAATACAGTCTATGTACAGTTCATGCAGGACTCGGAGGCAAATGTATTCATAATAACATTATTTATTGTCAGCAATAGCTACTTGTACAAAGGGCAGTCTCTCTCCCCCTCACTCACTCACCACAAGTGAGAACATAAAGAACAAAATAATAACTTATTCTCACACAACAAATGACAACTGTACAGTACTTCAATCATACATACACACACACTCAATTAAATGCAATAGCTTTAATAGCATGGCCATAGTGACATATATTGCCAAAGCTCTAAGTTGCAACATCTATACACAAATACACACAAATAAACACATAAACAGTTATAAACAAACTGCTTAGAATTTGGTGTCAGCTCAGTTTGATTCTCTCAAACTGTGGCAGGCAGAGACAAACTGTCCTGCAACAATGCAGCTCTCGTTATATTCCCCGAGTAGTATTTTTAGTTTTTCATTTTGAAATATTTGAGGCCACACATACACATCTGCCACACACACACACACACACACACACACATCTGCCACACACATACACATCTGCCACACACACACACACACACACACACACACACACACACACACACACACACACACACACACACACACACACACACACACACACACACACACACACACACACACACACACAGTGAGAACAGAACCAAATGACAACTGTACAGTACTTCATTCATACACACACTCTCACTCTCTGCCACACGTTGGTGTCCATTGACAAGTCACCTAAATCTAATGAGAAGGTTGCGCCTGTCTCCGTGAACACAGTCCTTTGATGTCTGGGGCAATCGAGGTGAGCTTCGGTCTCAGGTCTGGCTCAGCATTCAGCCTGCTTCTGTATTTGGTTTTAATAACAGCAAGGGAAGAGAAGCCTTTCTCGCACAGATATGTGGTCGCAAAAGGAAGGAGAAAGCGCACAGCTTTGTCAGACAGGGCGGGGTATTCTCTGTGTTGCTTTATCCAAAAGTCCACTAAAGACTGCTTTCTGAAAGCGGGCTTTAGTGTTTCATCACAAGACAACTGTATTAAACTCTCCTGCTCAGCCACAGTTAAGTTACTTGGCAGTCCAGAGGCTTCCATGCTGAACGGGCTTCTCATCCAGCTGTTGTCTTCGGTCATCACTGGGAAATACTGGCGGAACTGTTGTCTGAGCGAGACAAGGTGTGCAACCATGTTGTCCCTCACTCCTTCATCAAGGGTCAGCTCGTTCTCAGACAGAAAACTCTCTAAAGCAGGGAAAGCTGAAACATCAACTGCCTTGACTTTGATTTCGAATAACTCCAACTTTTTCAGCATTGTGTTGATTTTGTCCTGCACATCAAACACATTGATGGAGAGTCCCTGTAGTCCCAAATTCAGGTCGTTTAAACGGGAGAAAATGTCTGACAAGTATGCCAACTGGCTGAGCCACACTGTATCATCAAACATATCTGATGAGGGGAAGTTTTTGTCCTGTAAGAAGACTTGGACTTCTCTGTGCAATTCAAAAAGCCTTGAAAGCACTTTCCCTCTTGATAGCCATCTTACTTCTGTATGGAGCAGAAGTTGGACATGCTCGCTGCCCATCTCATCACAGAGCACTTGGAATAGGCGAGACTGCATCGGTCGGGCCTTTATGAAGTTCACACTCTTCACAGCAGAGTCCAGCACAGACTTCAAGCCATCGGGCATCTTCTTCACCGCCAGCGCCTCCCGGTGGATGCTGCAGTGTGTCCCATTGCATCTCCGGTGCGACCTCTTTGATCCGAGCTGCTACTCCGCTGTGGCGGCCAGTCATAGCCCTCGCGCCGTCTGTGCAGACTCCAACACACTTTTTCCATTCATGTCCATTCTCTTGCACAAACGCGTCTAGGAGCTGGAATATGTGCTCAGCTGTTGTTCTGGTCTCCAGTGGTTGACAGAACAGAAAGTCTTCCTGAGCTGCACCATCATGTTCATATCTGACATAAACCATCAAATTGGCCAAATCTGCAACATCAGTAGTCTCGTCCAGCTGGATGGATTAATAGCTACTACTTTTAATGCGCTCAATCAATGTATTTTTAACATCGTCTGCCATCTCTACTATTCTCCGTGACACAGTGTCATTTGAAAGTGACACCAAATGTAACTGTTTGGCAGCCTTCTCGCCACACATGATTTCTGTCATTTCTTTTGCGAGTGGGAGACAAAGTTTTTCGCCAATTGTGTGTGGCTTACCGGCTTTTGCAATGCAGAGGCTGGCATGATACGAGGCTTCCTGGGCATTGGCTATGGGTGTACAGCTGGATTGGATCGTTGACTTGCACTTATTCAGTAGATCACATTTTCTTGTAAAGAATTCCGCTGGCTTGTCTTGCAGGTGGGCGTGTTTAGTTGTAAACGGCTAAACGGATTGGATTGCCGCCCTGTCTGTCAGCCTTCCATCTCGTGCACGCACAAATGTATCTCGTGCCCTCATTGGGCGTGCCGTCATTGGGCGTGCATTGCAGCAGTACTTCAATGACTCGCCAGCAACAGGCGGCCACTTTCACCATGGCAGAGTTAAGTTCAACATCGTCTACTGGTGGCAAAAGAAATAATGCAACGGAGCAAATTAGGAACAAAAACAAAGTGGAAACTAGGAGAATTCAAACCAGAGTCAATATCGGAGTTGCTTTTCAACGATGGCGACTACTGATGGAACACACCTATGGGGGTTATTCCCTATCTTTATTAAAGAGCGTGGTATTTAAATTTGAGAGCATACTTTATGTATTTCTTTCCCTCAAACCCTGTCCTCGCACTCAAATAGTGCCTGCTTGCACTTAGATTTGCTCTGCTTCTGCTCAAACTGTACGCTTGCACTCAGATATATTGCTGCTTACAGATTTGTTCTGCTCTCAGATTTATTCTGTGCACTCGAAACTTTTGTGCAACAATCCTGTCAAAATCCCTCAACCAATAGGAGGCCAGGTGTCCTTGCGGGTGCGTTCGCTTGACTTATTACAGCGTCCCGTAAGGGCGGTTACTCTTTGGTTTGTCTTTGGTGCGATGACAGGGTTTGAGTGAAGGAAATCAATAAAGTATGCTCTCAAAAAAAATACCACGCTCTTGAATAAAGATAGGGAATAACCCCCATACACACCGAGTTGAAATCTGACGCCGTGGTCGCTCTTTTTCTCTTGGACAGGTAATTATCTGTTTTGTATGGTTTACAATTCCCCTGAACTATATAGCCAACCTAAGTCATGTGCGCGTTCATGTGTGTTGGAGGAGGTGCTCTGTAAGGAAGTCTGAAGGAAGGGGCGGATTCTTTTCGGCTGTGTACTTTCAAATTTTAGTGCACTCGAGCCGGTTTCTGAAACTTACCTACCCCACCTTTAAGAGAGAGAGTGAGAGAGAGAGGGGTGTGGCTTGTGCATGTGGGTTTGTGGATGGTAGAGCGACAGTGAGAGAACGTGTTTATGTTTCTGGAAGTGAAACGAGGAAGCAGAAAAACAGAGGTCTGTGATGAATTTTGTGAAACAGAAGAACAGCTAAATAAATGCAACGGCCTCCCAAGAAGAGCTCGCCTCTCTCCAGTCATTTAAGCTAAAGTGGGTTATTGAACATGAAGCTTGTTGCTTCTGCCCTCCTCGACTACGGCAGGCTTTCCCACACATAGACTATACTTGGGCGGGCCGCCCAGGTATATTTAACTCCAAAATAAAAAATAAAATCTTACCGGGGGGGCATGCCCCTGGACCCCCCTAGAGGATTTGAGGTCGACCCCCACTAAAAATCACATGGATAGGTTCCTAAATACATTAATAAATACATTAATTTTTTTAAATAGTAACCCATTTCCATATGTTCATGTGTGGGTAGTAGATTTAAACTATAGGGCTATCATTATGGACCCTGCCTGTACCTGTACCTGTTTGCTCTGCCATCGCGTGAAGGGTCTGCTAACAAGCGACCAACAGAAAGGTTAATGTTGTTGCACGTCACCTCAACCCCCCCCCCCTTGCCACCACCCCGCCCAAGTATATTTCATATCTGTGGGAAACACTGTACGGTCTGGGAGCCGACAGGAAAGTTCAACACACAGATGGCCAGTCCGCCCCTTTGTAGCATATTATTTCGATGAGAGATGAGCAGATCGCCACTGGGCTTTCAACTAAAGACACAGCCACGCAAAAACTGCGGCATTTGTACAGATCCTTATGGGTACTGCAATGAGTGAAGTGCTTTCCTCTGTGGTGAACGGGGCTGCGTTGCGTGCATGGCTTCCTTCTGCAGGTAACGGGGAGACGTTACCTGCAGAAGGAATTAAAAAAAAAATATATATATATATTTTTAAAAATATTTTTTAATATTTCAGATTCCTCCGCGTACCACCTAGCGGGAGCTCGCGTACCACCAGTGGTTGAGAACCACTGCTCTAATCGATCTGAGAAGGGATTCCGGATATATGGCTTCCCTAAGGACGTAGAGCCAAGGAAGAGATGGATGGCAATGGTCAACAGACAAAACCTGTGTCTGACAGAGGACAACAACAGCAGAAAACTCTGTCATGTAAGTAATGTTCACAGAGGTGACATGTAGGGATGCACGATATTGGTTTTTTGAAACCGATACCGATAACTTCCTGCTTCTCAAGACCGATACCGATAACCGATAATAATATAATATATATATATATTAAATGTACCTGTAGTTTTTGCACACCTGGTGGTAACAAAAAGACTAGTAGTGAGCAAATGACATGAGCATTACTACTATGAACAAAACAAAGCCAAGACCAGTTTTGACTCTCGTCAAGCGCCATCATTTCTATGATGAAGTTGGAGATCGTTTTAGCCCTGGGGTCATCTCTGGCAAACTTCTTGCCTTTTTCAAAAGCCTCGTCGATAGGTAAAAGCCCCGGTGCCTTTGCAGCTGGCTTTGGATTCGCTGCTAGTTTAGCAGCGCAGGCGTCTTCGTACGCTTTTAACACACCATCGTAGTGATGGCGATGTTTCAGGTGACTAATCAGGTGACTAATCAGGTTGGAAGTATTATAGCTCGTTGCCTTTTTCCCTCCTCGTGGAACTTCTGCATTGCATTTGTTAATACAAATAGCAAGCGAACTATCTAACTCTGAAACTTTGAAATAGTCCCATACTACCGACGACATGTTTGTTTACTGTCCTGGCTTCACGGCCGCACACCATTTATGTCACAGCCAGGCATGAGTTAGGGAGCGCTGGATTTGTGAAAAACTCCCCTCTTCCTAAACCACTAATACCACAGTACTGGCAAAACGGGAGGAGCCGAGTCAAAAACAAGCGCCCCTCATCCCAATCCACCCACACCGCAGTATTTTTTTCTTTTTTTTACCCAAAAAATATATTGTATATTATCGGGGCTATTAATACTTTTATCGGGTTTATCGGGATGACGTCATAATTCCTAATATCGGACCGATAATTATCGGGCCGATAATTATCGTGCACCACTAGTGACATGACTTGTTAACATTTTAAAGGGCATCATATTTCCAAGTGTAGAGAATTATGACTCTTCAATGACATTTGAAGTGTGCAGTGGAAACTGATCAAACCTACCTACCTACAGGTACTTTGAAGACGACCAATATATTGGCAACAAATCAGGAGGAAATTTGAGGTTGAGGCCAGATGCTGTTCCACCAGTATTTACATCGGCCTAAGCCGAAAAGGAGGAAATCCACGTCAAGGAGTATGCCTCCAGCTGTTAATGTCAGGAATGATGACCACACCTATTATGGCACATCAAACATTGGTATGATATATGAAGCTAACAATGTTTCCCATGTTATATAATTCAAGGATAGACTACACTCCTAATGCAACCTTCAGATTATACAGCTTCAAAACTACCAGGGTTCAGGGATTCTCTGAAGACTCATATACCACATGTAGATAATCTACAGATTTCTTCATACTTTAACATTGCCAATAGACGAACTTAGATTAATGTCACTATAGGAGTGTAGTGTACCCTTAAATGACAATAGGTGCACATGTAAAGGCAGCATACACATATAACAGCAAGATTGCCTTGTTATTGTTACAGAGATTCAGGGAGATATTGAGGTGGAGTTCCAAGGGAATGAAAGGGACATAACAGACAGAGAGAGTGAGACAGATGTCAGCAGACTGCCAGGGGCCAGTATGTCAGGGGCCGACAATCAAGAGGCCACCTTACCAGAGATCAGTGTGCCAGGAGCCAGTCAGTCAGGGGTCAGCTATGAAGAGGCCAGTTTGCCAGGGTCAGGTGCTCCAGGGACCAGACTGCCAAGGGCCAGTTGTGACCGGGCTCACGTGGAGGATCTAATGAGGCAACTGAGAAGGGAGAGATTACTAAGAAAGAGAGCAGAGAGGGCTCTGGTAAACCAGAAAAGGATTAATTCGGCATTTAAAAAAACAAACACAATTTGATTAATCTCAAGTTTAAAAAAATCTTCAACACAGACCAAATTAGAGCCAGATTACCGTCCATCTGATGAGGTTTTCACCCTTGTTCAGAACGTGGAGCAGCTGTTCCGTGTGAGGACGAGCGATTCCCTCATGAGTCCTCAAATGCAGTGTCACAGCTGGAACAAGAAGCCATGTTGCTGGACAGCAACCTTCCCTCATGCCTGAAGAAAAAAAATCCTCTCAACATACATCAGGCTGAGGTTAAGGATTGCATCAAAGTGCATCAGGGCTGAGAGGAAGGATAAACATAAAGGGTATCTTGGCAGCAAGAGTCAGAGTAAGAAGGCAAAGAAGACCCAACAGACCTCTGCACCGAAAGTCATAACATCTAGGCCACTGCCAAACACCTTACTCGTTGCCATCGATGTACTTGGCATCTCCATTCCTGGTCCACCGTCAGCAGCCTCCAGCCTCCTCTTTTTTCAGCAGTCATCACCTGCAGCCGTTGCCAGCACCAGCCTCCTTCAGCAGCAGCACCCTCCAGCAGCAGCACCCTCCTCCAGCAGCAGCACCCTCCTCCAGCAGCAGCACCCTCCTTCAGCAGCAGCAGCCTCCTCCAGCAGCAGCACCAGGGTCGGCGTCATGGGGGGTCATTCGCGGGCCATGCCCCCCCAAATGAGTCACTGTGCCCCCCCAACGCAGGGTGGGCAAGCCTTGCCACTTTGCCGTTTTTTTTTAATTTTTAAATCATATAAGTGAAAACGTTTTGTGTGAAATACATCAGAAATAAAGAATACAAATATAAAACACAGCCTGAGGTGTGCTCACTGCTGCTCTCTGATTGGTGTGTTGCTTGACCAATGACCCCCGACCTTTGTTTTGTTATCATTACGTGGCTGTGTGTTTAGATGAAAGCCCAGTGGCGATCTGTTAATCTGTTACACTGATTATACAGTAAAGCCATCGAAAATAATACGATATACAGTACAGTAGAAGTAGCCTACTTCTGGGTCTCTGTGTTTCATTCAAGCTCGGCTCTGTGTGTGTGTGGCACGAGCGCATTTTGTGAGTTAGCTAGCTATGCTAACGGATATAAAGAGCTGTTTCTACACCAAGGTGGAGGAGAGTCCTCTCCTGTCAGACTGAGAGGATCTTATAACGTCAGCTCAGTGAGGTAAGGACTCTCTCAGTGTTTAGATAGTTAACTTTAGTGTAGGTTAACTTATCTCAGTGGGTCTCAAACGGTTTGGTCACCATTTATGTAAACAAGTATTTGCGAGGAATACCTTTATATGATCATTATAGTTATTAAAGAATAAGAGAATACATGAAAAACGGGTATAAAATACTATAGGACAGTAACACAAGAATACAGTTTAAAAGGGGAGTGATTAGTAAAATATCCATAAAGAAAAAGTACAGTTCTGTTTCATATGGATGCTGAGTGATGGAGGCTATCCATAGATCTCTTCATTTTGCTCTCAAAGTGCACCAGATTGATGCATTTAACTTCAATATTTTAAAAATAATCTTCCCGGGGGAGCATGCCCCAGACCCTCCTAGAGGAGGTTAGGTCCACCCCCACCTAAAACATGTTCACATGGATAGGATACTAAATACATTTGCACACTTTTTTGTATGGTGGCCTATGTCCATATGTTTCTGTTTTGGTGGTCGTGCCACAATCGTGCATGTATGCACAAGTCATAGGTGCGCTATACAATAGCACTACACCCTGCAATGTGTGTGAAAAACAATAGACTTAAGTTTACAGCATGTTTTTTGAAGTTGCGTTGGTGTTTGTGTGTTGGTTGTTGACAGCAGTGTGTGCCCCCCCTTGGTAAATGATTGCCCCCCCATTCGATTTGTTCTAGAGCCGACCCTGAGCAGCACCCTCCTTCAGCAGCAGCACCCTCCTTCAGCAGCAGCAGCAACAGCCATGGCTGACATATGAGGCTGACATATGAGGCTGAATAAAAAAAAAGTGCTAATTATTTTTTGAAAAGTGTTTATTTTGTTAAAAATAAACATTTTGGATGCATGACCATGTTTTAGGCTCATCCTTCATTCACTGCTGTAGAGTAGCCTATTCAGTAGGCTATTATTTTTTTAAGACTGAATAATACCTTCGAAGAACAATCATTAAACTAGTGTGTATATTACAATACAAAGGAATCTATCCTAGCATGCCATCAAGCATTAAAAAGTAGCGCTAGGCTAGTTGTACAGTACAGATGAGTTAACACGGAACAGTACAAAAAAAAACTAAGTACAGTCTAACATGTCACATAATGAAATGTTAGTATATCCCAAAATTCAATGAAATATTTATCACAAACGCCACCTCATTTCTACTAGTGCTAGCAGTTAAGTCATATCATACAGAAAAAGCCGACTAGGGATGGCTGACACGGTCAGGTTCAGCAGATACAAACCAAAATAACAATAAAAACACATAATCAATCTAAATCCTGCTTGTTAGTTACCCAGCATCATTGTCATTGATATATAAGCTGCTAGCGATTCATTACTGAAATCTTACCTTCAAAGCTGACGAAGTCGCGCTAGCTAACTAGCAGGCAATGCTAGCAAAATTGGTTGTAACAACCAAGATAAAATATAGATAATTACGCTGTGCATATACAAATGAAGACCAGTATAAGCATCATAAAGGGCCTCTGATACAATATAGACAGTTGACAATTCAAAAGAGTTCGATATTTCAGCAACTTACCTCTGGAACTAATCGACGCGCCGTAATGTAAGTGAATGAGGTCCAACGCCCAAATGACAATATTTTGAACTATTACGATGTCCATACCCCGGAAGTAGGCGCCGCCATTTTTTACAACGGAGTGTCGTAACTCTTATCTCTCTATGGCTCTGGGAGTGTCGTAACTCTTATCTCTCTGGGGCTCTGCCGCCGGCCCTTCCCTTCCGACCAATCAAATCGTCGGAAGGGAAGGCCTGACGTGCGTGACGCTGCGTCTCAACTGCCGTAGCGACAAGAGGCAGATATGAAATCTCCCTTTTACACAATAATATTTGCAAGTATAGAGTAGTGGCTGATGTTTTTAGTCAGAAACAGGTAACCTGTAGTGTACATTTACTACTAATAAATAACTTTAGTGCCGAGTTATTGAGACTGTATAATATTAACGCAGCAGCATCTGTCGGTCTTTTCACTCTCACTTTCCCGCCACATCTGGCTGAACAATGAAACCTAGCCAAAGTAGCTAGATAGCATTAAACATATAGCTGCTAATGCTATCAATATAATGCCAATTGAAGAATGATGGTCACAGAAAAGAGTGTAAGCTAAATTAAGTTAAAATAAATATAATAAAAAAAGAAGATGGGCCTAAAGGAAAATAATTGTCATCCAGGCAGCTAAACTCAAACAATATTTAGCTGTTCAACATTGGCAAAACATATTTATTTAAGTTAAAAAATATTTATTTAGACCCCTTGCTCACATTATGACAATATCTGCTCACTTTGTTAATATTGTCATATACGTATTGGGATCATTTCTATTAATGTGGACCTGAGGGAGGTGACGAGCATAAGATTCACTTTCCTTTTTTATTTCAATTCCAACTTTGCTCATGAAGAATATGTTTCTCTGTTGTCCATGTTCATAAAGCATAAAACAACAGCATCAGAGCACGGTGCAGAGTCTCTAGATGAGTTTACAGTAGTCCCCAGTTCTTATTATACATCCATGTTGTAGTCCGCTGTATAGAAAACTGTAGTTTCCATAGTTTCCCCACAGCAGCAGACGTACATTTATGACGTCCGCTGGCGCATCATAAACACGTTGGATAGTGAAAGTGCAGTCGGATTCTCTAAAGTACCGCAGTCTCTTCTCCTAAATCCTTTTGAATTCTCCTATCCACTATCCCTTAACCCCGTGACGTTTCACTCAGAGGTCAAGGAATAGACGATAGGGTTAGAACTTAGGATCTGATTTTTGGAGTATTCGACAGCAGCCCCGGTTTCTCCAAAATTACCTACCCCACCTTTAAGTTGAAAAATAATAACTGAATAGTAACATCAATTCATGCTTTTTGTTTGTGTCATTCATCATAAAGATGTAATGTATAATGTGCAGAGAGAGACAAACTGTGACAGTGTTTTCAACTCAGGTTTAAACTTGAAAAAGTAAATTCATCAATTTACTCCCAGATGGCTCAATTTGCCCATTGACGCAGATCAATTTACTCCTTAGATGGGGCAAGTTAAGCTACAAGACCGCTTTTTTCATATCAAGTCATATTTTCATGGCCCTTTGTTATAATGCATTATTTATTTTTTTATTGACAGAGGAGATTCTCAAATAAAGATTGTTGTCATTTGACTTCTATACAATTTGTCTTTGCCTAGGACAACATAAGTACAAATTGACTAATCTTACCCCACTCTCCCCTGTCTGCAAGTCTGAAGTGAAAAGTGTTTATTCCTTTTGTTGTGGATTTTCATTCTGATAAAAAAATCTATGTAAAAAACCCTATTTTTCCATATCTGAAAAAGATACAACCAAATCAATGCAAACAGTCAGGATTTAAGTAAAAACCACATTCTTTTACATATTTTATGAATAATCTCTCTTTATTTAATCCATTGTCAGTCGCCTTTACTGGTCTCGGTCAAATTGATAAAGGAATCATCAACACGGCAGAAATCAACAATGTTTATAGTTAGTATGGATTTAACATTATCTTAAAAAGCATGCCATTTCTTCACAGTCCCACAGTCACCTTCTTTTTGTTCCTCACTTTATCTGACCTAGAGTAAAGTTAAATGTATCAAGTAGAGTGTAAAAGTATTGTCCTGATAAAGCTTGATGTCATTGTTTTTTGGAGAATTTATTGAGAGGGTGTTGCAAGTCAGGGGCAGTGTCTTAACCAAATATTAAAAACCATGTCATTGCGCTAATAATTTTCATACAATCCACAAAATAACTTAAATGTAATGTTTCAGATGCTATCAAACAACTACTATTTCCAAGGGAGGATTATAGGTGTTAGAAATAGTGTCAGCACTGCTGAGACTTCTCACTGTGAGCGTGGTTGTGTGTTTCCACATGCACAGTAAGTGGCAACAATTTATTGGGACTTACTGTAGAACATTGTGCAATAGCAACACTGTCCCAGATGGTGTCACCTTAGTACTTTGTGTTAAATGTACCTCTCATCTCTGGATACATCAACCTCCATCTCTGGATGACGAAACAAGCTGCAAATACAGCAGCACAGATGGTATCTAGGCTAAATAGGAGAATGTTTATTATTTATTATCACTGCAACCAAATGGTGCAAAAATCATTAACAAAACAACCATAGACCTTACAAGGATGTAGTCAACATGACATTACCCATTTGACTAAAGTCTTTAGTTTGGCATCTTGGTCAACACTGTTTTTTAGTGTGTGTGAGTGGAGACTGGGTAGATAAATACAACCAAATGCGTTTAGGAATCAAATATTTGAGAATAACTGTTCATGAACTGAAAAGAGTGTACATGGATTAAAGTTCTAAGACCAAAACAAGGACAACACCAAAGTTAGATGTCCAGAACGTTGTCAACCTGTCAACCAATGTACCCCC